AATTTTTGTAATATATAAAAAATTAAAAAAAATTACCCCTGTTATGGTGCTTGCATATTTACAAAGTTAAAGGGGGAAAACAGGCACAGTTGACCTCAAACTCCTTGTGAACGATTACATCATTGAAACATGAAGAATACAAACGAATGGGGCAGGCAACAATTACCTTGTATACGTTGTAAATGTGAGTTTATTACGTTTGCATGTTTTTTTAAAACACAAATTCACTGATCTATTGAACCAAAAAGTTGATACAATTATTTCATATGAAAAAAAAATCACTGGATGGGCCAAACATTTATTAACATGTTTTTATAACAATCACTTTACAATTCTTCTTTGCTGAAAGTTTGAACCGACCACACATGTACTCAAGTAGTACATTTCAATAAAATGCACAAGTACAGAACAAATGGTTCACAAATATTGAATACGGCATCATCTTGATAAACTAGAAATCGAGGCTTCTCTGGTGAGTACTGTCTATGTTATATTCAAACAGGGTATATTCAGAACTAGGATCTCATCAGGGTCTACAATTAGATGTAAATCACAGAAATTTGACACTTTCAGGACAGGATTTATTTCAAGACAAAATTGATCATATGTTATTCTCCAAATTGATAACAATAATATTTTTCTTTTATTGTTACATTATTAAACTGAAACATAATGTCTCCGTAACAATTAACATGGCGAGATTGGCCTGTATTCAATCCAATATTTTATGCAGTTTTCTGCTTTGATAAAATACTTCGTCAAATTCGTATTTAGTTAACACTTTTGGCTAAGTATTTTACCCTAAGTTTAAGACATATCCCAAACAGACTTACACCATTTACTTTGAAAGCCTTGTTAGCAAGCATACAATTTTCAAGCGCAGTTATCATAAGTTGCGCAAAATTATGAGCACATTTAATGCGACGTGTTATATTTCATACACCATATGACGTCACAATGGAAGTAATTTGCCTTACAGTTGGCTGAAGTAAAACAGTTAAATGTACTCTAAAAACGAGTTAAAACATTTAACATACCGGTAGCCAAGAAAAATGCTAGTAAAGTACACTGAATTGAACAAAGCCCTAGATGGTTGAATGGAGCTTATCATTGGCAATGGGATCAGGAACTATACAATTTAATATACACTTTAAACGGAATGTTCTCAGAATTTATAGAAACACACGCATTGCAACGACACACTTTTTATCACACAATCCTTAATAAATTATCAAAAAGTACATATATACAAAATATTAGCTCAAATAACACACTACCGCTTGCAAAAAAAAGTTTTTTCCTTCTCACAACAAACAAGCAATTGCACAACAATCTACATGTATCACATGTACATAATGAATATGTAAACAGTCTATGGCAAAAGTTTACAATGGATTTCTACTTTTTTCTACAGTTATATGCAACACAATTTTTTTCTATCACAGGTTCATATAAATGTAATTATCTAAACAAATGGCAATACTTTTTAATAATACTGATAGTTGATAATCTAAATTATCTACATGTATATATTACTTATTTCTCAAATTGAAATATTGTCGCAAAAATATATACAAATGTACTCCCATGTATATGTAAAATTGTTTGATGTGGTAGGTATTAACAGTACATCAAACATGAACGAGAATTCTCGTGGAAGTTTAAACGAGACAAATTAAACAAAAAACACCCAAAACATGTAGATGATGGTGACGTTCACATAAGAGGATAATGTTCAACACTGGATTTCAACTTCACATCACATTAAAGTTATCCATAATCTGTATTCTTGCAATTAATCAAGGTCAAATTAAATCTACATGTAAATTATTTCAAAACAAATATAGAATACAAACACATTAGGCATAATAAACAGGAGTGTTTTTAAAGTACTGTCAGCTTTTGTTACATGTAGCTTTATTCAACAATACCTTAAACGATTGTGATTCAACGTGACTTAGGACATTTTTATAGATTTCTTTTAAAAAACCTGGTAGAAAGAGAGTTAATCGAGCTATTCATGCTTATGGAAAGGAGCTGGTTTGATACCTATTGTTTCACAGGACAATATTCAGTATTGTCATTAGAAATTAATGTTTAGAATGATCTTTAACAATAACCATACATGTATGTTTCATAAAGATAGGTACGACTATCTCAGTGAATGATTTCAGTAAAGATTACACTATGAACATTCTTTTAGCTTTAACCTGTCCAATTATATTCTATGATCATCCAGAGGAATTAACCACAATGATAATTGGTGAAAATAATAATACCATTCATTTTCTGCAGAATTAAAATTTTGCTAGATGTGATTTCCATCTGCTTTCTTTCTGCTGCTGGGTAATATCAGATAAAGATAACTTTGTACAATTTTCCATGATGTTCTCAACTATTTTCAAATTTTGAACCAAGTGATTTCCAACAAATTATACAATTGCACAGTAGCATTTCAGTTGGATAACTATTCACAAAAATAAAAAAGGGAAACCGATGAATACCGGTACATTCAATTTAATAAGCTTTTGCCTCAAACATAGACGATCAACTATGATCATAAGTAACTATCATCATTTCACAAAAGCAAGCTGGCTTGTACAGTAATTCATATTTCTTTCAAGAGTATTCCTTTTTTACCGGGGCAAGAAAAGTTCTTCTATATGACAGCATTCAGTACATAATTACCACATAGATTTTATGTCATATGCAATATACTAGTAGTAGGTCCATGATATAAGACACAGCTGATGTTTGGGGGAGGGGTCAAGGCACTTTAGTTTTCTATCCTGTTTACCTGTGATACATTATCAAAATGGATGTTTGAGACAAAACAATCAAAAGTAGTCAATATGCTTCTTTAAAGACAGAAGGACATTAACTCTGTGTAAAAGTTTATATGTTACCACCATTCTGGCCCTTAACAGACAATAATCCAATTGGTAACAAGCCTTCTCAACTAATTATTCACTTTACATGATAACAGTACATGTCATTTACAAACATAGTACGTTTAGCTCAAAGTGAAATAATGAAAGATAGGAATTGTGAAGAAAGATCGTTTCAATTACGGTATAAGGATTAAAAATTTAGATCATGGACCATGGTTAAATTGAGTATTTTATAAAAACTTCTGCAATTCTGTCCTTGAAAACATATAGATATAGTTTGAAACTGTGCATTAAAACCAGTACCGTTTTGACGGAAGGGTGTTAAATAGTATAATTTTACAGAGTTAACATCCTTCTGGCTCCAAACGGATGACTTTACATGTACCGGTATGCAAATTCAAGTATATGATAATGAAAGAAATACAAAGAGTATTCACATCTTGTAAAGTATCATAGGTGACAGAATGCATCCTTGAGGAACCACAGCTCTCTGACCTATGCTTACACCACCAGTTCAGTAACCATTCTCAAGTGAAACTAGTGATTCAAACACTGTGGCTTCTACATCTTTGTAAGTAAGATAAATCAAGTATTGCTACATCAAGTCTTTTGTTTTTCTTTGCAAGGCAAGCGATCCCTTTAGATTTCATATCACAAACCTTCCATTTCATTTTAAATTGTAACCTTTGACCCCAGGCATTGCAAATAAGGCTTACAGCAAGATCATTGGCAGTTTAACAAAAAAAAAGCACTAGTTCATCTAGTGTGCAAACTTGTGGCACACACCGAGAAATTAAATACACACTTTTCACAACAAAGGCAGCTATTAGAGAGGCACTAGCTTTTACTTCAAGATTTACAAGAGCAAAAAGACAATAAAATCACCTGCTCAATTTGATTGAGAGGAAAAGACTACCGATAAATGATTTTATGATTGGAATGTGAAAGCAAAGTTTTTGGCAGTGTTGTTTCTACCTGGTCTGGCTCAGGAAAGTTTGGCAGAATTTGAACCATATGACTTTGAAAAACTGAAGATCACACTCCAGACAGCTAAACAACAACTTGGACAAGCAGAGTAGGCAGAGACTTTATTGAACTGAGTTAGAGATCAAGGGAAAAATAAAGATTTACAGGGGGTGTTTCATAAAGCTGTTTGTAAAGTTACGCATGACTTTACGAATGACTTTGATATGAAAAGCCGAATGGGATGCTCAATCACTTTTAACTGCATCAACTTAAGTTGAACTGTGCAGATATAGATTAACATTCTTATGATAACAAACATTTTTAATGCAAAGTACATTTTTTGCCATAATTTAATTGAGGTTATTTGAAATATAGTCACACTTTGTTAAAACATCAGGAAAAACTTTGGGCATCCTATCTGGCACTTCATATTCGAGTCGTTCGTAAAGTCATGCGTAACTTTGCGAACAGCTTTATGAAACACCCCCCAGGAGAGAGGGCCTTTAAGAGAAGGGGCAACCAGTACAGAGCCCTACTGCTCTGGCAATGTAATGTTTATGTTTTCATAAGCGCTCTGTACCTGCTTTATGATAAGACGCTATGGCAATGTTTTGTATTACCAAAGTGAAGTAAGATGCTTGCCATAGGAACTTTTTAAAAAGGATAGATGCAATCACAGACCTAGATACTGCAGCAGATATCTTCTGAGCTCACCCTAAGACCTTGGATTAGGACATTGAAAAAGAAACTGAAAATTGAAAATATAAGTGCGTAACTTATTCTCTGATTTAGGGAAGACTTAATACATTGCCTTAATAAGTACAATTGGAATTCTTTGTAGTAAAAGCTAGTGCCTCCCTCTAGCATAGAAATCTGACATAAAAAAAGCCAGAATAATAAAAATCTAAACAAATATGTACATATATGAGCAAAACATTTTTTTTGATAATCCTCATGAATATGTCCACACAATACTTTCTAGGAGACGTTTTACCTTCACATGCATTTGGCACTCCTCCATTATTCAATACTAGTAATATAAAAGTTCATTCTAAAAATATGAAACAATGTTTAAAAATATTTGATGTACCATAATGTTCATGCTCATATGAATCAAAACGTTATTGAAAGTATCTGATGCAAATTGTAAGAACACAAATCCACAAATCCATCACATGAATACCAGTTTGCTGATTTATTTTGGTGCATTTTGGCCGTGGCAGAATGAATACCCGAGTTTCTGAATACATCACTCAAACAACGCGCTCCCCCATAAAAAAAAGGTAATTTATCCCTGCTTTTGATCATAGTTTAGTTACTTCCTGCTTTGATGCCAGACGACTAGTAATGCTAGTTAGCCTGAGAACATCAATGAGGCAGCAATACAAGAGAGCAGCATATTCAGATTTGAAATGAATACAGAATTTTCTCACCATTTTGTTAAAACATGCATCAAGATCATTGCATTTACATAATGTCAATAGGATAATATTAGCATTGACTTTCGTTTCACTGTACATATACAAGGTAAAGCCCATCTATGTGGCATTTAACTGCTCATGTAACTCTGCCCTGAAGAAAAAAAAATGATTAGGATGAGAATAACTGGCAGCCAAGCCCTTGCAAGACATCATTTGACTTGACAGCATGAGAATATATACCAGAATTCTTGATGACCCGATAGCTCAGTTGGTAGAGCAGTGGTCTTGTAATCCGGCGACCCGGATTCGAAACCAAGGCGATGCGCTAGTGCCCTTTGGTAAGGCATTACTCCTCATTACCAGGTTCCTCAGAGAGGACCTAAAGCCGTCGGCCGTCTGGTTGCTTACTAACAAGCATTTATGCTTTCTTAGCAGTCAGTTAAAATAACATGATCAGTGAATTATCAGCAGTATTCACATCTTGTGAAGTATCATAGGTGACAGAATGCATCCTTGAGGAACCATAGCTCTAACTCCAAGGATATCACGTACAGTGTTCCTAATTGATGAGTACTTGGCATACAACGGCCATCATCTTGCGAATGACCAAAAGCACCAGAATTGCATCCTTGAGAATCCAAAATGAAAGTCTATCCTCAGTCACTCAGGAGTTGGAACATAGTCAGTATCACAATATCACTGACCATGAGGAAGGGCTGCAATCTTGAAAATCTCAAGTTCAAACAAATGAAAGAATCCCTTGGTATAAGGAATACAAATGTCAAAGGAGGCAAGGTTAAATGTAGGCGTCACATGAGGGCAGCAGCCTCAAGGTTATCTTTGACAATTGTATTGGTTACCACCTGAAAGACCACCTCCATGTTGCCGGTGTCTGTTGCCGTGGTGAAGTGGGGATACACCTCCTTCTTGGGGTTGCGGTTGCACTGCTGGAAGCGTCTCTGGATGTACTTGGCCGCAGCATCGATGTCATAATCTGGGCCTGTTCAGGAGAAACCAGACAAGAGAAGAAGTGAGCTCAAGACGGGAACATGTACATTTTTGAAAGGTACTCTCACTGAAATATCTGGGTGTGTCATTGCTGTGATCCGTTACACTCAATTCCTATGAGAACTTTTTAGGAATAACCATCTATTTCACTGCTGAAAAATGAAAATAAAAGGGGTAGGCCAAAAGTATCAGCATATTGAACAGAGTACTTGAGAATAAAAAAGAAAAAGAAAGGCAAATGTGGAGATAACAAGGAAACCAAAAAATAGATAGTGGAGTTTCAGAATGAAGTTTCAGAAGGAAACCTCACAGCGTCTTCCTACAGGTGATGCGACATGGGTCTGAACCTCCTTGATCCAGGTTTACTAAAATGGTTGACAGTGTGTTACACAATCCACACACAGGTAACAATATCCCAGGAAATTCTTTAATGATCAAGTGCTATAACCGGGTTAGGGTTGCTTGTATTCTTTCCTATTTCGTCCTATCTAGGTAATCTTCTATCTTCTTCTTTATCTTATGCACTGCTAAACAAAAGCATGGGGCCAATAGCAGACGCAAAAGCCCAGCTTCACCGAGGATGACAATTGTTACACTTTACGACTATTAAACTGATTTAACATTTGATCAGCAAGAGGAATGCTAGAGTGTTTCCTTGAAACAAGGCAAATACAAAGTCGTTACCTTGAAAATCTGGAAAGTAGTGTTGAAGCTGCCTTGAAGTGTGGAGGATTTTGAACTGGAACAAATCCACTTTGTTGAGAAAGAGAATCATTGTTGTTTGACGGAAGAAACAATTATTGCAGATGGATTCAAACAGCTTCAGACTCTCTTGCAAGCGATTCTACGTGGAATGGAGAAGAAATAGTCACATTTTTGTTTGAGTATTACTTGTTTTCAATATGTCAGTTTGATGTAAATAGTTTGAATTTATAGCAATTTGATTTATTCAGACTATAAAACATCTACACAATTGAAATGCCTTCCTAAATTTTGATATAAATGTATGTCCAAAAAACTTTTTACATTTTCTTTTCTCTTCACATTCTCTATCCTATCTAAATCTAATCTCATTCTAATCTTATCACTTTTTCTTTATCCTTCTATGCGCCCATTGAGATTGTGAAATCTTGAAGCCAGCCTTCTTACCACTTCAGGGTCTTCAAACAGAACCATGTCGTAGCCACTGAGAGCAGCAACGAACAAGAGCGCCTTGACATCATCAAAACACTGGATCCATTTCCTTCTCTCTGACCTTTGACCTCCGACATCATATAACCTGGTAAAAGTAAGAAGTTAAGAGTATTACAAATAGGAAATAAAAAGGCAATATAATTTCTGAAATGGCGCCATGTAACAGCATATTATCCTTCACACACAATTCCTATTAACAAAATGATAATATATCTCTAGGCATTGGTCAAAATATGGGGGAATATGGGGGAATTTAAAACGCTCCTTGGCTATGTTATTTGATATCATTCAAGAAAAGCAAATGCAGCATCCACAAATGTGCAGCTTTTGATTAAACAAGAGTATCAGACTAGAATGCAAATTTTGTGATCAGTGTAAGGACTTTTTGACTTTTCATTGGGACAAGAAAATCCTCTTCAGAGCAAAAAAAAAACCTTGAAATTCTTTGGGAATTCAAAAGCCAAATGTTACTAACAAAACCATTCATTCCATTTTCGTACGTACCTTGTAAAGCGTACAAGTTAAACAACTCTCCATGGATCTTCCATTGATAATGCATTTTCCAAATATAATAGAGGGCTTGCTCAGCAGGCGACCACAACCAGCCAGTTACCAACTTTTCCATCTTTTTTTTTTTGGGGGGGGGGGGAATTTATTTTGCTTTTGTAGGGATTTGTTTGGTTTTGTTTAGTGATGTTCCTAAAACTTGAACATACCTGAAAATGACGCCCCTGATTTTGAAGTGAGTTTCCAGTATTCCTGTTGTCCTCACTCGAGCTCTGAGGACATCTTGAGTGTCTGGTTTGTACTTCTCAGACGTCAGTCTCTCCATGTTCTCAAAATAACTGGTAGGAAAGAAAAAAAATTGTAGGAAAATTGTCAGTACAGTGAAACCTGTCTATAAATTGAAGACCACCCAAGGGAGACAAGAAAAGTGGTCCTTATTATATACAATGTACTGTATGCAGGTGGTCTTTATGCACAGGATCCTTTAGTACATGTTTCAATAAGAAACCAATTTCAAGGGAAACAAACAAATGTGGTCTTTGTATACAGGTGGTCGCTACAGCAGGTTTGACTGTATTACCAATAAATCATAGTTTATTAAGAACTTTAATATCAACCTGTACCTACACTGTACACCTTATAATTTATTTACTTCTCCCTGAGATTAAAAATCAACATCATGTAGTTTCTTGCACATCATTGGTATATTTGTACGATGACCTTTCCCTCTAAAAGGACCTGCTAACCCTTACTGGGAATGGTGAAAAACAATCTGTCATAACTTAAAATACTTGTTCACTAATTTTGCTGATCTGGACATAAACATACGAGTTGAACTATAAAATAAAGCCTTCAATTTATAGAGTAAAACTAATTCATAGTGTACAAAAACTTGCACTTGATATCACATACGAATTGAAATGCCCGCATCCCCTACATAGTACGGGTTCATACTCTTTCTCATAAATTTAATTCCATGACTTTCCATGACTTTTCTAGCCAGAATTCCATGACCTTTCCATGACTTTTACACATTTTTTTTACACGGTAGACTGAAAATTTGATCTCAAATCAAAGCGAAGCAAAGTGCATGTTTCAAGTCTACTAATAGAAAGGCAGCTTTTGTTATCTAGTTATTTCATCTGTTACAATTACATGTTATTTTTTCATCATATTCGATATGCACTGCTATATAATATTCTTACAATTACACATACATGTATTCATATCAACAATTGTCCATTTTTTAATGGCAATTTTCACTTCTAAAGAATACAAATTGCCTGTTCCTGGTTTCATGGACCACCATGATTCCTTCAATAGCTCTCCTTTGCATGTACAAGGTAACTACCCCCCCCCCCCCCCCAAAAAAAAGAAAACAAAACAACACCAACACACAAACTCACACACATACCATCACCAATTTTGATTTCACCAACAAAACACAGTAGGCCTACTCACATCAGCTGATGAATTCTTGTTTCGCTAGCATTAAGCTGGTCAATAATTTCTGAATGAGTTTTTTCTTGAGACATCTTCATGTAGCTGTTTGAAAGAAATCCCTCTACACATTGCACCTGTCTGAATATTTGGTGGCATTGGTAACAAACTGTCCAAGTTCTTTAATAATTCTTAATGGCATTCAGCTGTTCATCAATCTGTTTCTGAATTACTTGTAACTGGGATGCCTTCTCCTTTGCTGTACGTCGGAGGCTGTTTGATTTGGAAATACAAGTCAATCTTCCTTGTGACTCTGCTTCCTCAGCATACTTGTCTGCTGAGGTGTGAAGACTTTTCACATCTGCTTGCAGTCTCATTTGTTTGGCCTTTAGTTCTTCCAAACCATCCATCAGTCCTTTTCTCTTTCCTTCTTTCTTTTCCTTTTCCTTTTTACGCCTCTGTTCATCGAGATAGATGTGGTATTTCTGCCTGCCTGCAGACGCAGCCAACATGATTGATTTGTCAATAGTCACATTCTTGATTCCTCCAACATACTTGATATGGTCATAAATGGCCCTCAATGATATCAGTGAGTGTCCCAGGAGATTGTCCTCTTCAACTTCGTTGTTGATTGAGAAACCTCTCTCAATGGAGGCTTGTCCATGGGACAAGACAAGCAACATGCGGACCAACTTTAAGAGGGTCGAATAGCGAGACTCGGACAGAAATTTGCACATTACAGAGTCCAATCTCTCTTTCTTTGGATCAAAGTCTCTCATCTCTGCACTTCTTGATGCCTCATCACATGCTTCTGAGTATTCTCTTAGGATATCGTCACATGAATCCTTAAGTCTGTGGGCATCACTAAGGGTGTTAAGCACCCTCTTCAGCTTTGCAGTGGAGTTTTCTTTGTCTTTTGCCATGTTCTTTGGACTCAAGCATCCTATATTTCTCACAAGTGCATACTTAAGCGGACATCGCTCAATGAGCTTCCGGGTCATTGCAGCAAGAAACTTCTTTGCTTGAGTGCGAAATTCCAGAACTTTCAGCTCACTGATGATATTTTTCGCCTTCAGATCTTTCAGCTTCTTCTCAGTGTAGAATCCAATGTCCAACTTGGCCAAGGGCAGCTGAATGGCCTCACTGCTAACATCTACCTGCATTATCTTGTAAGGAGAAGTAATGGTACTCCTGTCCAGCTTTAAAAATCGCTGCATAAGGGATGCAAGCATTCTAGTAAGGTCTTCAGCTAAAAAGGGCAGCATTGGTGCATCAGTCTGATAGTCTGTTAGGAAAGGATTGACCAGCTTTGCAACAGATATGAAGAAGTACAGTCTTGCTAAGAAATCAGTTATATGAGTACATTTTGAAACAGTTTCAAAGGACTTGTTCTTTGGGTGAGGGATTTTCTTCTCTTCTACTGCTTTAACATACGCACATACACTCTCCCAGATGCTGATTGCTCTCTCTGCAACAGGAAGGTTTTCCAGCCATCGGGTCTTGCAAAACTTAAGTGGCATGGTATGATCTCCAGTTATCTTCTGATAATCCTCTCTTCTGGCAGGGGAATCAGAAAACAGGTAATACAAGGATGATAGAAAGCTTTCCACCTCCCAGTCAGCAGCCTTGGCACCTGTCAGAAAAGCACCATTAACTATATGGAGCCCGCATGAGCCTATATTCAGTATGGATTTGGTCAGGTCAGCAGTGTACTCTCGCGTAAAGTCATCATACATCTTCCAATTAACGTTGGGACCATCCATTGATATTTGCAGTAATTTTTCCAAGCCAACTGTGTGCAGAACTTTATTCAGTTCTTCCTTGAGGTGAACAGCTGAACCATGTCCGATGAACACAGACGTCAAGTAGCGAGTGCAAACTTCATTGTGTTGCCATGTTCTTATGAGGAAGTCCATCTGCTTTTTCTGGAGCTTCTTGTTGAGGCTTTCATCAAACAGTATCACATAGTGGTTTGATTGTTTTATGTTGTCATAAAGGAGGTCTTGCACATATGGGCCCAAACCAAACACCGTCATATACCGACATTTTGTTTCTGACAACGTGAAACCCTTAGCAATAGCTGAGTCCGGAAACATTCTTTGAAAGAGCTCACTGTTGTGCTGGCAAGAATGAAATGATAAATGATCCTCCACCACTTTCAGACACCAGAGTATTTCAGCTTTTAAAGTTTCCTCTCTTGCAGCAACAGGAATGGGAGTTGTCACTTTAGAGGTTGATGGCGCACAAGTACTGGTTGTTGCATCTGTAGACGTGATAGATACTGATGAACTTTCTGCACCTTTTGCCTTGAAGAAGCTCTTGAGTGAGAGAGTAGAATCTAGGAGAAAAGAAAAAAATGTCTATTAAAATAAATAAAATATAAATATCATCATTTGGTAAGATTTAGGGCCGAGTCAAAACGTTTAACTGCCGTTCAAACGACCATTAAAAGCATAAACGTTTTCCTATTTTGACAACCGTTTGACAGTATGGGGAAGGAAAAAAAAAAAAAATTCACGGCAACTTTTGGCCAATTGATGTAAGTCACTAAGACAAGTGGACTAATTTTTGACTCATTCCTTAAAAACATATTTTAAAGAAATAGAAAGGAGGAAATACTTCTCAAGGCAAGCAAACTGTTGGACCCAATTGTAAGTACAAAATTTAGTTTTATGATTTTTGGGGTCAATTTTAAGGTAAATTATTATTATTTTTTTTTTCTGCAGTCCACATACAGTGCCCGGTACAACACTGGCGTGTGAGTGCGGAGCCCCCTGGGTTAGCGTTCGGGCTGTTGCATGCAGTAACCTAGCCGGCCCGGCCCGGGGCCGGGGACGCTCCCGAACGGGCTGGTCGCAGTAAGCAGTAACCAATGCCTGCGAGGTGACATCGCATCGCTAAATAATCTCAAATCTTTCATTTTTATATAATTATTATCAGTCATTATTTGGATTCATGCTCAATAAAGGATCGGTAAAATTCACATTAAAAATGCTCACTTACGACGTTGTTGCTGTTGGAGGTTTGCTGTGTGTTTTTCACTCTTCTTGTGGCTCTTGACGGCTGCTTCGCCCATATTACGGACACTGAATTTACACATACAAACAGCACATCTAGCAGTCCCCAGATCGGAACTTTCTTTCAAAATCCAGCCACGGTAATCCGGGTGTTCTAACCAAGCATCCTTAAAATGACAATTTCCAGGCATTTTGAATATCACTTCCACAAAATTTGTAATGGTGAAAATATCCACGTGACGAGTTCCAAGGTCTGTGAAAATAAACAACTCCGTTTCATGAAGAATCAACACATGCACAAAAGTTTCAAAACACATGCCGTCGCGTCGATATATAGATCGTCAACGAGCTAGCGCTGCCAATTTGCCTTGTTGACACGTCAGTATTGTTCCTTTTTTATTTAAATAATGAAAATTAAAAAACAAATATTACTAATTTACTTTTTCCTCATTTATTGGAGAAGTGTAAAAATTGTAGTAGTCTAAGTGGTCGCAATTTAATGCAAAGCCAAAGTGCAATCGAGGCATTACATTCGTTCTTGGAGTGTCACATGTCGCGTTGGCACCATCATCATATGCACACACACACTGCACACGTACACGTGCGCTAGCTTGCTGAACTGAGCTAGCGCTAGCGAGCTCGCTCGCAAGCTAGCCATGTGCGCACGATGTGGACCGTACCGCCATACACTGACCATACACACGTAGTTCGTATCGTACACGTACACACCCACGTACACAGCGCTTATCCATCGATCATAGTGAACACATTCACAAGTACAATCAGTCGGTATGTTACGAATGAAAGAAAATACGAGAAGAAAATGGTTGAAATATCTCCATTTATTCACTTGTATAGTGAGAAAATACTATAGTTGTCCATAATTTTGATATTCCATGACTTTCCATGACTTTCCAATGGAAAAAATAATTTTCCATGACTTTCAAGGCCTTAAAAGCAATAAAGTAAAATTCCATGACTTTCCAGGTTTTCCATGACCCGTATGAACCCTGGCCGGCCCGCTGAAGAAAACAAAAGAAAATAATGAACAATTAAAAAAAGAAGAAGACTTACTAGAGAGCCGAGTCATTAAGTTCATATTCATGTCCTCTTGAGACACAGAGACGTATTCCAGAGTCATTCCACAAGGCAAATAATGAGCTGGATATGTCATGCTTCATCACAGTGTGCTCATCAAAACATCTATGGCATTGCAGGATTGCTTGTGCATGGGACTGAGGCCAGAGGTAGAATGATTGAGGGGAAAAAAGCAAATGAAAAGGTTTTTAAATGTATATAAAACGTCTTTTATAAATTTATGTTACGGTAATCTTTTCATTTGTAAATGGATATGGAAGCTGTTCTTCGACCCAATCACTCAAAGCTTCTGCTGTCACATTTATATAATCAACTGATCACTTTGTTCCTTCTATTCCTCCATGTCATACATAGTACTCATGCGTATGTCCTATCTTCTCTGTCATGATCAAAACAACATATATTTATTGACCAATGACACAAGATGAAGAACACATCTGCACAACCTGAAGAGGTGTAACTCATGCTGCACACAGCTGCTTATCTATAATAATATCAATGATGATCGTAATCATATTAATTTTGTTTACATACAGTGTAGGCTGGCCTAATCAGCTTCAATGATATTCCTCCTGAGGGCCCTGTAATTGATATTACCCCATGGGAGTGTTACACAAAGACTAAGATCGACTTTAAGCTGGACTTAACTATGGCATGCTGTTTATGCCACTGTTTGCTCTCATTATTGTTGAAGAAAAAAAAATCTTAAATATGGCTTAAGTTTACAATGTAAGTAACTTTTTTTCTTCAACAATGACCTATCAAAGAAATTAAATTCTGCAGATTTGTGATGTCCCTTGAGAGACCAATGGTGAGAGCGACTAGTGGCATGAACAGCCTGCCATAGTTAAGTCCAACTTAAAGTCGATCTAATTCTTTATGAAACACCTCCCAGCAAATGCCAGCTAGGTACCCATTTACACCTGGGTGGAGAGTGGCAAATATTGACCAAAGTCTTGCCAAAGGGCATTAGTGCCCGGCTGGGATTTGAATCCTCAACCCTTAGATTGAGAGTCACGTGAATGAACCACTATACCACGACACCTCCACTCTCTGATAATATAAGAGGAGGAATGAATTAAAAGAATCTGGTGTTCTGGTATTCAATTAGACAGAGGGCCTAATTTTCTATGCAAATTTAAATATAATGTTTAATTACCATCTCTACCTGAGAAATTATATTTACATAAATCACAGTGAATAAGAAAAAATATTTTAAAAATGGATAAATGCATATGTAGGACTATAGAAGAAGAAAAGAAGAATATTGCAGATTAATTCAAAATTTCAAATCAATCACATGATGACAAATGTAATCACTCTGAAAATTGATCTTTAAAGTCTACAGAACAATACACATTGGGCCCAAGAGGTTTATGGCAGGTACTGTAGTACCAAAAGCTAAGTGAGGTTTTAAATGGTTATTATTCCACAGCCATCAATCAAACTTAAGATACAGTATGCCCCTTTTCATCTCTTAATCTCTCTAATCTTTATTAATTAGAGCATTACTTTGTAGACTGGCCAAACAAGATGAGCTAAAACCATTTTACATGTCACTCATGTTGGTGAATAGACTATGACTATACTTTGTAAGGTATAAACAGACTGGTATGGTTATCTCAGTTACATGTACAATGCCAGATCGACTCCAGACTAATTGGGCGTTCAGGATGATATATGTTTCTATTTGGTCTGTTGTCGGTCTGGGCCTCTTTTCACAAAACTGTCATATACATGTACATGTAAGTACAAGTTCACAGACAACCCATTGAAACACATGTTAAATTTCAGACACATGCATTTTGTGACAGTTTTGTGAAAGGCTGCCCAGGTGTCAGTCTTCTATCATTGGTGTGATTGAGGTATCATGGACATATACATGTATCTTACCTTATTTTTAGAGTTGGCAAGAGGTATTCGCAACAGGCCCATCCCGTTTAGTACATACTTCATGGAGTTCAGTAAATTATCCAAAACAGCAGGCTGGTTAAAAAGAAAAAGAAAAAAACACTTGCATTTTCTATTCAAATTACATTTTATCATAAATGTGTATAATCTTTTCAACATCATTTTTCCTACTCTTAAAAACCTAAATTTTTGCAACATAACACTTCCAAAAATTGCAAAAAACAGCCATTTCCACAGTAATACATTCATGCAAACTACAAAGATGAAATTTTGTGACTTGACTTCACCAATTATTAAATGGCTCAAATTTTACCAATTTGTGAAAAAGCTTCTTTGCTTGAAACTACATAGTACATGAAATTCATTGCCTTGAACCGTGGGAAAAATGAACAGGTAGTCAAGTGTCTCAGACTGGAACAAAATAATCAAGAAATTGGCAAACAAACATGCACCAGCTATATTTTGCTTGGGTGAATAATCTTAATTCCAATCCTCATGTATATTTTCCCATATGCCCCATGGTTTCTTTTGTACAAACATGACATTAAGGTTGTGGTGAATGTTTGTAAACAGTCTTACGCCTACACAGCTGGCAAGACAATGATACGCCTACATAACAGTTTCTCATGGACTTGCATGTTGCGCCTCATATCACAGACCAACATTAATGCTCATCATGCATCGATAAACCCATTTATTTCTAGCTTTTTGTCAGATGTTAGACAACTGAAGGTTCACACAGCGGGTCTTTTAACTTTAAGTTTAGGTCATGGTTTTAAACTTTGAAGTTATCTTGATGTAGTTAGGGACGATGTGGACCCAGTCCTGGTTATAACTATGAGTACTGTAGTTAATTTAAATTAACTTCCAGGTTACACCAGCTTGCAGTTTAAAACTTTGAAAGATTCATTCTTTTGGCCGAGTGTGAACAACTCTTGGCATTGTTAGTGGGTCGTTGTTTAAAGGTACTATGTCCCTTTTGCAGGCCAAAAAAACGAAAAAGTTAAATTCCAACTGCATTTGAAAGATAATACTAATTTAGAACTTCCCTAAAAAAGGTGGGGCTTGAAAATGTCTTCAAGTAGGAAAATAACGACTATTAGTTGTCAAATCGTCTTTAGGGCTATAGAGCCCAAAAGTAATAGTCTTAATTTTTCAGACAATTGTACTGAATGGTCATACGTTTTATGCTGCGCAAAGATTCAATCAGTTTAATCTTGGCCATCACAAGAAGTGGGTTATTGATGTAGACAAATGCTCATGTACCCTTTACAACTCTTTTCATGTATGTTATTACCAAAGAAGAAAAAAAGCCAGTCACTCACTCAATAGTGTCTGACAGTGAAGTCTAGCCAGTAAACAGGTTTCCTTGCATATATGAGGACACTGCTAACGTTTAAATTTCACAGATAGGACATACATGAAATATTCATAATTCCTGCAAAGTTCTACAGCATTTGAGGTTGGCTGCAAAAGGGACATACATGTAGTACCTTTAACAAATTTTGAGTTTTTGCAATTTATGACTGTCCCATGTGAACATACATGTACTACATGTATTTTACTGGAGTGGAACCATACTGGTAAATCCATGGAGTAACAAAACAAAACTTGTTCAAACATAGATCAAGGACACCCACAGTCACTCATGCATGGATAATGCATGAATCATGTACACATTATTGTACATGCTTTCTGTAGGAAGAGTAAAAGGAGACAAAGAGTAAAAGAGACTTTGAGACAGCAATTCACCTGAAAGCTCATGCCATCCACAAAGCAAGAAGTTATTTCATTTCAACACATGCTGCTCGGCATTTTAATTACAATTACCGGTATATGCAACATATGTCTGTATTGATCTAGGTTAAATAGACAATATGGTCCCACATACTGTACATTCTACTTGTTCCAAGTAAGAATGTGTAAACATAACACAAGGGGTGATCTTACAAGAGCATTTACAACTGTACATGAATTTCTATTTGAAAGAAAACATCATATTAGAATTACATGCACCTGTTCCCTACAGGTACATAAAATATAGAATATATTTTAACGCACTCATTAAAATGTATGCAATAGATCAACATATTTTCTTTCGTCAAAACAAAGAATAAATATTTTTAGTGAAAAATCTATTTAGTAAAACCATCCAAATGAATGGATCAACAGCTCCCAGGGGAAATTGTAATGCATTGTGTTTTCATCATTTACAATTATCCACAAAAAAACAAAAAAAATACCCTCCTTCATAAGGTTTTCACCTGCAACTTCCCTACATTACATTTCTCTCATATTTCTGCATCCATATAACAAAACCAAAAAAATTAGAATCACTCGGACCTCTTTGAAAACATTGTATCAAAATGTCTGTCAATGGAACAACATACATTTTTCACCCTTCTTTGTCTAGAAAAATAAACAGTTTACACATGGGCCTACACATAACACAAATATTATCAAAGGCAAGGAATTCTTCTGTCAACACAGAATTGTGTTGAACCGAAACTGTCCCCTTGTGCTCTTCACTCCCTATTCTTCCATTGGAGCATCTTTGTTTGGTTGACCTTAGAGGGTGTCCTGCAGAGTTCACCCCGGTGACCAGCATGTGTGATGTCAACTGTCACAGTCATCACCCTGTGGGATGCTGCCCACATCACCAACAACAATACAACAAAGAACAGTGTGCAAAGGGACTTCTTCTGTCCAGTGTGGAAATGTCTACATGTATGACTGGCAGTTCATAGGCCTATCTGTGTACAGTATAGTTAAATTCCCCAAAGTTTTTCGCTAGTTTCTCCCCCATTTTTTACAAGTTTATACAATTCTTTTAATTCTAGGATTTGACCTTTAACATGTCTCTTAATAGAGGGTATCCCTCTTTCCTACACAGTTCACCTCAGAGACCAACGTGTGTGCGATGTCAATTGTCATAGTCAAACAACAGGACGCTGCCCACATCACCAACAAGGCAACAACAATCATGTAAAGAAACCTCTCCTGCCCAATGAGGAGTGGCAGTGAATATTTAAATTTCTCTGAGTTTTTGCTCCTACAATGTACATGTACATGTAAGCTTATCCCTAAAATTTCTCAACAGCACCTTTGATTTTCATACTGATCTATCTTCCCTTGTTACGATTACATTCTGTCACTTATACATGTAGCTGAATTACTCTACAATGCTGCCACTTTATTTCTATCATGGACAGAAATAGGTGGGACTCTGTCAAACACCTAACAAAGAATGGGTGAAAAAGAACGTGTCCAGGAATGCCAGAACTTGCAGCTCTACTGCAGCAAAATAATTTCTCACGATATACAGTAGTTTAATTTCTAATTTTCCCAAATGTTTTTGAATGACTTTTATTTTCATGAATAAGGCCAGAATCACAAGCTTGTAGGAACTGCAGAGCTTGAGTGTCAACACTTTTGTTATTACGATAAATTATTTACAAGTATATCCTGAATTCTCTTCATACAATAGTCTAGATTTGTTATTTGTTATTCATGATTTTCTTTTTAAGTTGATTCCTCTTCCATAAAGCATTGATCATTAATCATTATTATTTAATTTTAAGACCTCCTCTTCTAAACTTATATGCCTTTAATATAAAAAGAACACAATCTAAAGTGCTTCTAGGCAGAAATATATTTATTTCAAATTCGTGATCAATGATATGCTTTATGAGATATCATGCAATATCCATTTGCAGCTGCCTACATTGTTACTGTTGCTTTCCATACAATGTAAATACATGGACATTTAAAGTTATGTGTCCTATGCTGACATCATAGAGACTGGAAAAAGCTGAAAAATCGTGGAGGCAGGGTAATAAAAGTTATTTCCAAACAAGATCAATGTTGCATGCTTTCCCTCAGGGTTTTAGTCAGTTCGTCACACATGAATGGCATCTGTTTACAAATTGGCCTCAATCATGAAACAACACCTAATAAACCTTCCTTCAACAAAGCAATAAATATTTAATTGAGTGAGTGACATACAGTGTAAAGAACTGTTGGACCTTGACCCCATCTTTGATTTTACTCATCAAATTTGTATACAATGTATATTTCCGATAATAAATACCATTGTGAAGTACCGGTACATGAAATCAGTGTGTGTACTGAGGGTTCTAAAACTATAAAGGATAGTGGATATTTAAAGATTAAGTAGAGTTCTGGTCATGCGATTGCATTGTGAAAGAAACGGTGTGGAACCTACCAGAAAATGTTGATCATCTAGCATATAAGAATTTGTGTGTATTAAAAGGTTCTGGAATCATCAAAATGATAAGAAATTTGGCCAAGTCTTGGTAAAGTTACAAACAATTGCACAGAAAGATGTATATGGGACTACACGAACACGTGGCGTAAAAAGCCGGCACCTGATTTTTACGATGTTACATGCATATTTAGAATATGAAGGCATTTGAAGAGCCATGCTTTTCAGGGAACATGTCTTAACTGCTGTTCTTCCACACTTGCATAATAAGAATGAGTAATGCTCACAAATTATTTTTCACCTCTTCCCACAACTCAACCTTCTCTTTAAGTGTTGTTTGGTGTTGCTCTCTTTTGTTACTGGGCCTTCAGCATCGATTTATCACTCATCCAATGCCTTTTCCACATTGACCAAATGACCAATGGTATAGAACTTTGTATTTATTGTCATTGCCATCAATGATAATTGTATGTGACTGACTTGCCCTTCAAAATGAATTTATCAAACGATGAATATTCATGGGAAATAAATATCCACATTATACTCTACATCGATCATGTTGTATACATACATGACATACAACGTACTATTCAGATTGTACATATTCAAACATGACCTTTCTCAGAGCACTGAAAGATGCCACATTACACTGTACGTCTGTGTGCATTGTACATTGCAAACAGACCATTCAATGCCACTCTCAAGGGCACTTGATAATACATTTTCTTCACAACTTTAAAGGGGACCATTCACATTATACATGTATTGTGTTTTAAGACAGCAAAGTTGTAGGCCTCCAGATGTAGTAGGCCAAAACAAAAATGATACATGCTAAGAGTAATGCTTCTTGTTTCTGCATCTCTTAAAAGATAACACCAGGGGAAAAAAAATGATGAACATTTTTCATGAAAATAACACTATTTAATTTGTTTTGCATTGAACTCTATGCAAATTTTTTTGGGCTCTTACATTTACATGTATATGACTTTCAGGGGCTCTTTTTGACATTTTGGGGGCTAATTTGCCCGAGCCCCCAAGTATTTTGTACCTGGATAACAAATAGACAGTGAGTACATGTGAGATCAAAACTGTTGCATGCGGCAACTTTGTGGCATCCCCACTTCCCATCCCATTTACATTACAAATAATTTTTTTTTTAAATGCCACGATAAACCGCGGCTTCCCACACAAGTGTGAATGAGCCATCAGTAGGATTGTAGAAAAATGTAATTAGAATGATCATCTCACCTTGAAACTCATGAGTTCATAGTCCGTGAAGCCATCACTGTGTATGATTTTCATCTGTTTCACCAGGGTACTCTTTCCGCTTTCCCCAGCACCTGGTGAAATTATTAAAGTGAAGGCTCAAAATGTAATTGTAAGGTTTATGATAAGACGCGTAATAAAAATGTGTGAGTAAAAAATTTTCACATCACAGCTTGGATAGTATGATCATAAATTAGTTGTAACATGGTCAATTTGACCAACTGAATTGGTTTCATTTCGATTTGTGTTATTTGTCTAAAGACTCTAAATTTCTCATTTCGTAGATCTGTATTTCACAACTTATAATATATAGTATTATATCCCTCATGTATAGTTGTTTGCATTGCGATTGTACAGAGCACGAAAAAGGTATAGATAAGTACTATCTACCTGAGATAGGTCTTTTTGTCAAGTAATTTTTTGCTGCTGCCCCACTTGCGCGACTTGCGCATAGAATATTAAGCATAGCAAAGTAGGTTACGCGAAATGTCAAAGTCAATGTCAAATGAGCGCGCATCGACTGTATTACATGTACGCATGTTGTGCTTTGTAAAATCTAGCTGAAGCTAAACTGTCTGCAAAATCAGTTGTTTTAATTATGTAAAATTCACTTTAAATAGACCTTATTGCCGATGTGGGATATAAAACAAATAGTAACCTCCTTTACTCGGGCAATGGATACAAACTATCACCGCCTCGGTGATAGTTTGCACCATTACCCTCGTAGTTGATTAATATTTGCTTAATATTCATTGCATAAATGCAAATCTTATGAAGACACTGTTAGTGATAGTAACAAATTGCATTAAGACAGCAAATTACCAAGTGATAACGTTCAAAAGCTTATCACAATTAAAGGCTCCCAGCATATAAGAATGAAACAGACAAACAAAAAAGAACAAATAAACAAGCAAATGTTTAAACATATCATAAACTAATCCAATACATTTCTTCTACTTACCTAACAAGAGAATTTTGACTATATTCTCTTCTTGTCTAGCCATTGCTACCAAGTTGCGGTCGATTTCTTCGCTGCGATGACGGGCCCTCTTCTGGTCGTGGTCTAAGCTCACGCAAGTCCCCATGGTTCATGTTGGCACCCACAACGACTACTATCCGCTGTGTTTTGAGAAACAAGATGTTACACACACAAAAAGGTGTTAAACATAATAATAAAATAAAATTATCAGTACATTTAAACATGAGATGAGATGAGATGAGATGAGATGAAATGAAACTGGAAGAAAATAAAAAGGAAGGAATTGAAAAGAGAGAAAAATGTATCAGTATAGAAAAACAAATAGGCAGTGGGATAACGAGGAAAAGAGGGTGAGGTCAAACATAAAAGTGGGGACATGGTTGAAGAAAAAAATTGTTTTGTAAGAACATTGAAGCATAACAAGTACAATCCAGTTAAAAAACATAACACATAAACACATTTACAAACTCTGGTGCACAGACATGTACCAGTATGCCAATATATTCACAGAAAGTGTGGTGTGGCCTCTTAATTCAATTTTCTTGTAAAGTAGGTCTACAGTTTACATGGACCGACGTGCAGAAAGTTCATTGGAATAAAAAAGGAAATTCTAAATCATATTGTTAAAGAGTTTAAGAGTGTTAATAGTGAACATACATCATCAAAAGAAACTCCAAACGACAACATTTTGAATTACATTTTAAATTGTTTATTTTTTGTTGTTGTTGAAAATAAGCATTTTCATCAACGATTTCCTGTAAATAAACATTTTTGAAAAAAATAAACCCCTACGTACATGTCTACATACATGTATGTACATGTAGATCTAGTGTGTATTTGCTATTTGATTCATTTTTTTTTTCTATAATCCAGTTCAAGACCCACCCCCCCCCCCCCCCCCACCCCTACCATCAGAGACATGTACAGTGTACATGTACTTGCCTAATATTTATTAAATCAAAATTGTTGATACTTAGACTCTGAGGCCGGAATTCATAAAGGAGGTTTGTCAACAAACCTAGGTTTATGTGCGTCAGATGACGCGTTTTGATGTGTTTCAGAACAAGGCCAGGTTCAGCAGGTCAAAACGCGTCATATGACGCACATAAACTTAGGTTTGTCGACAAACCTCCTTTGTGAATTCGGGCCTTAAAGACTGAATATAGATCTACATGTAGAATTGTAGAATAGAATGTAAAATTTAATTTTGAACTTCATTCTTCAATATCAACATGATCTTTCAACAATCTATCAATCATATAGTCATAATAAAATAAATGAAATGAAATGAAATGAAATTGTGTTATCTCAAATTCAAAAACATGCATGATCAGGATGATATTGATATGATAATGAACAGTAGATTAGATCTAGATCTAACTTTTTCATAGATTCTACCATGTCTATCATGTCTATAGACACAGTAAAACAAGCCAAGATATTCCCATCTTCATGGATTTACATTTAACATTAAAAAAACAAACTGTGATGTAGATCTAGCAGAAACTAAAGTCATGCCATGGCCATGTTTATGACAAAGCTGACAAAACAGAACAAACGTTAGAGCCAAGCTAACCAACAGCAACGCGTCCCCATTCTGCCCAGTTCTCCCCCGCTACAGTGACCAGCTTTGCGGTGCGGCTCTAGCATAGTGCGTCGAGACATCTGATCTAGATCTACAACCTAATGAAAATATATGACCATTTACCTGTTGCCTGTGATCTTCACTTGAAGATTGGTTGGTTTCTGAAAGACCTCTAGAAAATACACAATTTTATTGTTGACTTATCCGAATTTGGGATGAATTCCTGGGACAAACAATAGCAATTCCATCATTGATAGAAGAGTCCAAAGCCAGGCTACGCTGGAAATAAATCCAATCAATGCTTGTGTGATACTTGAAGGACTGAAGAAGAAAACACACACATATACGGTACCGAATGCATATTGCATTGTGTTGCGCGCATGCACGGAAACTAGTTACGATCATATCTAAACAAATAGATGTTGCGATACCACTCCACGCATAGATATATTGTTTGAAAATGCAAATTTGTAAATATATCAAGAATTCCGACTGCTTCTTCAAACACCAATAATAATCACCATCCTAGCTGACCTATACAGTTAAGGAAAATGTTCATGGACTTTTCTTTAAGAGAATTGCATGCAGGTAATCAAATTATACCAATATATAAGCTGCATGCATGTTAGCCCTCTGAAGATAAAAAGTATAACTATAAGCCGAAGAAGAATAAAAAGATAATTAACTATTAATAATCTACAATTACATTTGAAACGTAGTAACAGAGAAGTTGTCCTGCAATTTGAAGTTTTCAATCAATCATAAATAAATTCAATTTGATATGATATCACAATCGGGCTATATCTCTCTCCCTAGCTCCCCTAAATAAAGTCACATACAGCTTGTATCCTGTCTAAATATTCCATCCTTTTGGTGTAACCTTTCTTAAAGTCTGACTTTTAATTTACCCACAATTTGTATTCCTTCATCTTTGATACTCGATTTACTTTTTTTCTGATTCCCTCCATCTGTTTTTCTTCATCATTTCTCCAACAATTCACTATAAGCTAATTACCTCACTCACTTTATCCTCCATCAAACTCCTTTATCCCTATATGTTCTTATTGTTTATAGTCATCGATCTGTAACCTATAACAAAGTTATGTCCTCATCTTAATTTTTTAAATTAATTTTCTCTTTCCCAAACATTTATTTTTCTCACTATAATTCCATCCTCTCTCTCCCTCCTCCATTAAACTCAAGACAAACATTAATCTACCTATCCCTTATGGTACAAAGCCCCCCCCCCCCCCCCCCCCCCCTCTCTCTCTCTCTCTCTCTCTCTCTGCTGCCATCATCTTCTGTATAGCCAAAATAACTATAGAGATTTTTCTTTTTCTTTTAACTTCATTTTCATAAAATAAAATGACACTTATCCCCAGCCTCTCCCTCTTTCACAATTAATTTCTTGGGCATTTCAATGCTTAGAAGAGTAGTGTTGATTCAGACCACAACTTTAACAAGTCCATTATACTCACCTAAATTTTTCTTGTACATGTATCAATAAGCTCTTTTAATTCTTACAATACGCAATATCTCAAAATATACAAAACATTGTGGACTGTTGAACCAGAAAATTGTCAAGCCAGTCTAATCCATCAGGGGGGTAGTGAGCACATTTTTTTTTTTTTTTTGATCCTCAAAAAAATTTCAATTTGCACCCCCCCCCCTTGAGCCCAACCCCCCAAAAAGGTAAAAATCACGTGATTTTACATGATTTTTTTCTCAAGGGGGGGGGGGGGGCCCGGGCCCCCCGGGTCACCCCCCTGGATCCGCCACTGACTAGCCCCGACACCATGTGTGTTGTCCCATATATAGCTTTCTATGTGAGTGCTTGTTACTTTACCAAGACTCGGTCAAATTTATTAAGATTTTGATGACTCCAGAACCTTGCAGTGCACACCAATACTTATATGCTACATGATCAACTGTTTCTGATCCTTTCCACACCTTTTCTTTCACAATGCAATCGCATTACCAGTACTAAAGTTTAGCTTTAAGCTATGGTTTATACATCCATAAGAGTGGTACAACTGTACAAGTGTATCCTCTTGTCCAATTAATAAAAAATACATTTCTGTATACTTGTTTAATCTGATTTAAGTGGAGCGATTGAACAATGGTATAGATCGTTGGTTAGATTTAAACCTCTTTTGTGAATTCGGCCCGTAATGTTACAGTCAGTTCTGCATCCCTCCCATCTATCTCTCTTATTTCCAATTCCAGCTCAAAATCACAGACAAACACACCCACACACACAAAAGGAAGAAACATTTTAAATTTTGTTTAACTATTTTTTTTTATTAATATTTTTTCTTTTAAGTTTCATACAAATCTTCTTTATTTGCAGGATCCATACACTGTCCAGTTGTACAAAACGTTGGCCTGGATACAAAACAAATTTGGTCAAAAGTCCATTTTGATGAGAAAACTGAACTTTTCTTCAGTTTCTTGGAATGACAATTATCACCATGGAAACTGGAAAGCTTGCTTCAGTGATTCTTACATAATTACTGTATCCCTTTTTTTCTTCTCACTCCAATCATATCATATATGAGACATCTGCAGGCGAATGTAACCAAATATTATAATTTTTAAAAACTGGAATGCTGACACGAGATGAGAAAGACAAAAGTGGATAAAAATCAATACAAAAAAATACAGTTTCTTTCAATAAAGAATTCATTTCACGTTCTCAAATCATGGAATGATCTTTGATATTCTTGGAATAAAGAACTACAGTTTAACTGAAGTAATGACATGATTATTAATGAACTGAAGTCAGATACATCAATTTAAAGTAAATTAATCAGAACTCACCCGGTATTAAACAATTTGGATGCAATAATTCAGGTTATGACGTATGTTGAGTATTTTTTTTAATACTACCAATGTTGCAAATTGAACATGCTAAGATTGACAAAGTATGCTTCAATTTTTCATTAATATCGATGCTGTAAATTCTAATCTCCACACCTCTGTTTTTAGCGATGAGAGAGACACATAATTACTTCTACAAAATCTTTTAAAAAGGCCTGTTTAAAACAGATACATAACACATCTTACAGGCACTTTAAATCAATAGCTTCAATCGTTGCTATGAATATTCGCTTTCTGATAATTTGTTTTATAGGAAAAGCAAGTTCTAAAAGTGCATTAAGAAATGACTATATGATTCCACTACTCTATACCAATAACCTGTATGGATGTTATCTTAACTTGACTACATGATACATTGTTGAGCTGGGTTCCTCTTAAGGCTGGCTCTTGCAGTCCCCCTCTACAGTTTTCGGACAGAGGTAGGGGGCGGGGGGTGTTGAGACAGCTTTAGATCTTCATGTTACCCAAGCTAGCTTCCAGAGATGACTGGTTCCAGATGACCATCTGGCCGTCCATACCAACGGAAGAAAGCTTGGCGATAGCCTCCTTTTCCCCGGTGTGAATGAACAGTTGACTAGCAAGGGAAGAAGAAAGAATAAACACATCCAATAGTTAAGCCCTTTGCGCCACCAAATTTGTCAACAATCATCATAAATGGCTTCCAAAAGAATAGATTTGATTGACAATCCTTTGTTTTATTGATAGATTTGAAATTTAATATTTTTGAAGTGTACCAATCACCTAAAAAAAGAATTTGTGTACAGCTAGAATGTTTAAAATCAACCCCCAAAACCTTCACCCTGCATTCTCCGGGCGAACAGAAGTATTAGTAAAATAAAGAATAATGTAAACCTTCGCTCAGGGAACAAAAGTTGGACTTGGGTTCTGTGAGGGCCCTCTTTATGTGAATGCTTTAAAGGGGGCATCGAGTAGTCTACTCACAAGTCACTTTTATGTTAATTGAGAGTTTATCGAAAATCTCTTTTCAACAGTAAAATTTGAAGCTCATACTAGTATTCTGAATATAGTATTACCCCATTAAACTAATAACATACAGAAAACTAGATGGAATTCGACTGCGCGCAGTCGAAAATGATGCCTCCGTCATAGAGCAATTTTACAAACCAAAACAGAAGAAATTTTTCAAATTCAAGTTCAATTGTAATCCATTAACAGGTTCTCAGAATATCGTGATTAGGCCTACAAGCAATTTCTCATATACATAAATGACCCTTTGATCTTTGACCTCATGACCCTAAAATCTACTCAGTTCATTGGCTCTGCAAGATGTCCTGTGTTAAATAGTAATCCATCTGTCAGTTCTAATGAGAATGAGTTCACAAGCTATTTTAGCATACATAATGACCCATGACCTTTGACCTTATGAACCAAGAATCTACTCAGTTCATTGGCTCTGCAAGATACATAAATGATCCAAGTTTGGCAGGAATCCATCAATCTGTTCCAATGAGAATACGATCACAAGCTATTTTTGCATACATAATGAGCCGCATGACCTTTGACCTTGACCTCATGATCCCAAAATCAAATCAGTTCATCAGCTCTGCAAGTAATATACATGACCTAAGTTTGGCAGGAATCCATCAATCTGTTCTTGAGATAACGCGATCACGAGCTGTTTTTGCATAAATAATGTGCGCTGTGACCTTTGACCTCGTGACCCCAAAATCTAATCAGTTCATCAGCTCTGCAAGTAACATACATGACCTAAGTTTGGCAGGAATCCATCAATCGGTTCTTGAGATAACGCGATCACAAGCTGTTTTTGCATACATAATGAGCCCTGTGACCTTTGACCTTTGACCTCGTGACCCCAAAATCTAATCAGTTCATTGGCTCTGCAAGATACATACATGACCAAAGTTTGGCAGGAATCCATAAATCGGTTCTTGAGATAACGCGATCACGAGCTGTTTTTGCATACATAATGAGCCCTGTGACCTTTGACCTTTGACCTCGTGACCCCAAAATCTAATCAGTTCATCGGCTCTGCAAGATACATACATGACCTAAGTTTGGTAGGAATCCATCAATCGGTTCTTCAGATAACGCGATCACGAGAACGGGACGTACGTACGTACGTACAGACGTACGTACGTACAGACGGACGGACGGACAACCCGAAAACATAATGCCTCCGGCTACTTCGTAACGGAGGCATAAAAATACTCTTTATGCTAACAAATTTGTGAGCAATTGTGATGAACGGGTTTTCAAAAGAATGATATTTATTTATGATGCTTTCATTGCTAGACTGAATGTTGAATTACTAGAATAGGAATGAACCTCAAAATAAAAGCTCCTTTTCTTTTTAAGAAAAAAACATGCCTAATGGCTAATCATAATTAATATAATCTTACTTGATGGAGTTCTGATGGACCGATGCCTTCTTGGAATCGTCGTCGGCCGTAGCTCTCTTGTCCAGATTCTTGAACATGGCCATGGCACTGACCGTACCAGCGGACTTCTTCTGGGCCACGCTGACCTTGCCCTCAAAGGTGATCTTAGTCTTATCATCCACCCTGAAGCGCATCAGCTCACAGTCATGACCCTGAAGATGCAAAGGGGAAAGGGTTGTGCTTATGTTAGGTTGAACTTGAAATCATATTGACAAAATCAGTCAGAAAATGTGATTACTCTGTGATCATTATGTCTTTGATTTAATGCATATTATTTTTATTGTTTTGATGATGTATATAGAAACGGTTAGTTATTTTTTTATATGCTGTAAAAATTTCTGCAATTCAACCAGTTGACTGCATATGAAGTAGGTTGTTCCTGTTAATGAAAATTAGGCACCGGTACATAGAATTTGATGATAAATACTGTTTTTAATAAAGCTTTAGGATCTGTCAGAGATCAAGACCTCACATCAAAATGAAGTTTATTAGGAAATAGATATCTGGAAGTAACTGCAGGTGATTTTATCAGAAAACAAGGATCCACATCAACATTTTATTAAAAAAATAATATATATCAGAATGTTCAGACGGTAGCGTCATTATCCACCCTTGGTAATTTTGAAACAGTCCAAACACCCTCCATTGTTCCCTCGGGTGTATTGGATTGTTTCAAAGTTACCTTGGGTGGATAATTCCTACTATTAACGTCCTCAGTAATGTGCACTAATTTTATACATATATCTTTAACATAGAGTTAACACCTTTCTGGCTCTCGACCGAATATGAAAGAAAAAAAAATGCATCTTACTGCTGCTATGATGGTGCTGGGTCCCATCCACTGCAAGGTCAGGCAAGGAAGAGTTTTCATCACGCAATGACCAAGAGCAAAATCTGATGCACCGTTTACCACGGTGAGAGTACTGTCATGACCACACCAGGCCAGACGGTCACCGATCTTATCAAAGGACACACTGTGCACCCATCCACCTAGGGTTTAGGGGAGAGAGAGACAGACGAAGAGAGACAAGAAGGAAGGGAGAGAGATATATATATATATATTATTACTCAATAATTCTAGAAAATGACTTTTAAACCACATAATACATTCTAGAATGAAATTATCCTTCATATATTTTGTGTACTAGTACCCCAAGGTGGAAAGCAATAATAGTAGAACAGAAATTAATATGTTTGTGCATGACAAACAGGAAAGTTGTCCATGGATGACTAAATCACAATCCATTGACCAAAATGTCATATTACGATTCAAATAGATTTAGGGATCTCACATTTCAAATACCAGTACTAGAAGACCTCACTATCTTATTATTGGTCCCATTTGTTTCAAATTAGCCATTGGGTTTCTCTTATGTTTCTGCCAACGTACAAATGAAATGTTTACCAAGATTGTATTGCCTTTTTACTTTTTAATCTGACCCCTTACCTCCACCACCAAACTCCTTGAGGCAGACTCCGAAGGGCATCTTGGTGCCCCAGGTGTTGGAACTAGGCTTGGTCTCAATATCCTTCACATAGGCAGAGAAGACTCTGAAATAATGATGATAATAATAATATTTATACAACAATAACAACAACCATTATAATAATACAGTCAAACCTGCTTTTAATAATGACCACCTGTCTACAAAGACCACATTTTTTGTTACCCTTGAAAATGGTTTCTCATTGAAGCATGTACTAAAGGAACCTGAAAATAAAGACCACCTGTCTGTGAAGACAACTTTTCTTGTCTTCCTTGAGCGGTCGCTATAAACAGGTTTGACTGTAATAACAACAAGGACAATAACAATAATAACAATGATAACAATAACAACAGCACCACCAACAATAATAATAATATCATTGATATTCTTATAGCGCACACAGCCACTACGCAAGGTGCTCGATATCATCCCAGCTCTGCTAGACTACCATTTTCAGTGCTCACAGCATTCAAAGTAATTCCTTCCCACCAGTACTCATTAGACACCTGGGTAGAGAGTGGCAATGAAGATTAATGTCTTGCCACAGGAAATTAGTGCTGCCGGGGCGGGACTTGTACTGCGAACCATGTGATCCACAGTTCTACAATTAACAGGCACTATGAATATGAAGGACAAAGAAAGCGGACAAAATATGCAGTTCCTCAGGTAGACAAAGGAACACCCCTTCACTGCTATTATGTAAAAATGTGTAGAATAGGTGTCACATGCATATTCACCTGTTCTACACATTTTTACATAATAGCATTGAAGGGATGTTCCTTTGTCTACCTGAGGAACTGTATATTTTTTCCGCTTTCTTTGTCCGTTATGTTCATAGTGAGGTTTAATTCAGACTATCATTTACAAATGCCAAATCTTGGAAATCACCCATTGTGAAGCTGATTTATGCTGGACTCAGGACTGAATATAAAGTCAAATTTGAGTCTGAGTTGGGAGACTAGAAGGGCACTTTGTTAAACATGTACATGCTGACAAATTTACTGACAAAACAATACTACCAAGTCTCAATAGTGGCTTCAAAAATGTCAAAGGTAGACTAAACTTCAGATAATTATGCATGAGCATTTATAAACTAAAACTGACCTGACTTTGAAGTCAGTTGAGCCACATGCCAGAAGCATGTTGTTGGGATGCCAATCAAGGGTGGTCACGGTTGAACGGATCGGCTTCTTGATGTGCTTGCTCACCCACCTGTTGACACAGAGACAAAATAGTAGGAGACACAGGTTTAATATGTTTATATACACATAATATTGAATCAATATTCTCAAATTCCTATCTCAATATCATAAATAAATGAAGATACATAATAATAATAATAGCTACATTTATATAGCTCGGCAATTATCCACCCCAGGGGATGCTCAGGGGTGCCTATAAAGTAGTATTATAACCCTGGCTTTATTTAGCCCAGCTGCCCTAAGGCGCTAAAAGCATTCATGGAATAAATTCCTACCAGGTACCCATTTACTACACCTGGATGGAGAGTGTCAAGCATATAGGCTTCTTGACAGGAATGGAAGACACTTGGTCCAGACTAATACAAGGTGGTCTTGGAGCATTCCAGAGGAATCATTTCTCTATGCAACAATCTGCCACAGGACATTGGGGATGTTCCTACACTGCACATCTTCAAGAGTCTCATGAAAACACACCTCTGTCAGACATCTTAAAACCTGTCTGCACTAGTTTGGCAGGGAGGGTTTAGACCTCCCCCAGGCTCCCTGCATGATCACTGACAGGTGGTTATCTCATCAAATCAGCTCTCACTTAACATAAGAAAAAGGGGATCATGGGAGACCAACAGGTACTGCTTAGGCATTGTTTGATATATAGAGGGCGCAAGGAGCTACAAGTAGTGCAGTCCCGCTTTAATTCAATTTGCTAGAAGCTAGACAGACTAATCCCAAAATGTTATATATTTTGTTTCTCTTGTCAGAGTGACAGGTTTAGATCAGGTGTTTGCTATGGGTCAGGTGTAATGCTATTTATTTTGTGAATGTTGGTTGGATGAACTTGACCTTTGCAAGTGCATGAGTGCACGTGTCACAACTACCTCTCTAAATGCGCTCTGAGGCCACACATACAGTACAACTACTTACCAATCATTATCGTCTTCAAAGTAGCAGATCGAGACCAGTCTAGCTCCACTGCCTACAGCAAACTTGTTCTCTATGCAGAGATAATACAAATGGAAAATATAAAGTAAAAAAACAGTTCTGAAATGAAAAAAAACTGAATTTTGCATGTTCATGACTGACTTCTCAATATCATTTCACATTTAACATTATACCTATGTCCATGTGGTTACATTAGACTGTTGAGCATGCTCTGAATGAGTGTGCTGTAGCTGGACCACCATGCCCCCCTCACTGATATTGATGACCCATAACTGGTGTCATGACAGAATCTATTTATTTAAAAATGAAAGGATTATTTCACAATACAAAATAATTAATTTCACAACCAACACAACACTAAATTTTTCAATTTACAAAAAGTTTCTTGCTGTAAGATGGCCAACCTCAACAATTCGCAAAAGTTTCACGTCACAAGTTTTTGGTTTCACAAGATGCAGTTATTGTCATGACAACCTTACCTTTGGGTGACCAGCGTACACAGGTGGCAGCTCGGTTGATACGCAGGATAACAAGAGAGGGCTTCCACTCATCATTACCGTTCAGGCTCCACACGTAGGCATTACGATCCTGGATAAAAACAAAAATAAAATCCACTTCTGAGGTTCTACCATTATAATTTACTTCTTGTATTTCGCTCACATCTACCATGCAAGGTGCTGCAATGTTACATCAGCTTCACATGCAATGTATGAAGGCTACCCATTTCTGGTTTTAAAAAAATTGAGGTTGATTTTTTATACATTCTACCTATACACATATTTTTTCAGGTGATTTGGACATATTGAATAATATACTGATTTATATCAAAAATTTAATTCACAAATATGTTCCTCTAAAGAGAAAGTAAATGATCATTATTTCTGATTCTTTACACAAAAATCTTTCTTTAGTACTTACAGATCCACATGTCACAATCCTGTTGCTATTCGCAGCCCAGTCAATGCTCGTCACTCGCTGTGTGTGCTGTAATATAAAATAGTACAGTATCGCTATTTTATAACGTAAATTCCAAAGTAATACAATTGGTCTTAAATCATTTGAGCAATCTACATGAATAAAGCCATGAAGTTTTCCAACGTTTATTCCACTTACAGCGAAAATGAGAGCAGAGTAAGTAATTGCTCCTGTGACAAAGGCTCCAGAGCCAATTCGGTACACTTAAGGAATCCCAAACTTTATCCCTAGATATAAAACTCTAAACCTAACCTTAACCCAACATAAAACCCAAGCTGCAACCCTAACCCTATACTTAAGATGAAAGATTTTTTCACTGGAGAAAATATGGATCATTAAATAACTCTTGCTAAATAAAAATGTCAGTCACTAAGATAAAACAGACTCCTAAAGATTTCCTTTAAAAAAGTGTCACCAATTTTTATAAACACATTCGGTTCACAGGGTGTTGGAAAACATGGAAGAAAAGAAATTATACAAAATTAAAAATATATTGGTTTTCATTAAATGTATATCAATGTGTGAATGGAATTATTGTCTTATTTTTCTACATAAGCTGGAAAGAAAGAGATGAGAAATGCTTACTTCACCCAGGGTGTATTTCTTGTTCCATGAAGTGCCTTTCTTCTCATAGATGTCCACCTCTTGACTATTGGCAGAAACAGCAACCTCTGTACACCACAACAATGAAGAGAATTGCAAAAGAGAGTGAGTTATCAATACTATCTTCTCAGAAAATGGGTAGAATGAATGCTTATTAGACTACATAAACTACTGATATATCATGTATGCTTTGAGAATAAACATGTACCGTAAGTTTTACAATTTTCTCTAACAGGATCTTGGCAGTACAATTAATGGTGCAATTCTTTTCCCCATTATTATTAACCTTCTTTGCAGATACATGGCCCTGCCCAAACAACATAAATTAGATACAACTGAATACCGGTACAAACATCAAGATACTTCACTTCAATAATTCAACTTTAAATTTAAGTTCTTGTGTAAGAAAGGTACATGTATATTTTAAGCCCAGAACAAAATATTACAGAAGATTCTGTATCCGCACCATCCTAATTACTAAAAACTGAAAGGATATAATTGCAGTACATTGTTCCATTGATGAATAAGAGTGATTTAATTGTAATAATCATTAAAGTCCCCAAATTGGCAATCTGGAGGGGAAATCAGATTCAATATTTTCATGTAAAAATTGGCAATCTTTGTTTGAATTAGTCATTTCAATTTACATCTGCCAATTTAATAAACATTCCTATTGTTTACTTTTTAAAACTGTATGTATGTACTGTGAAAAATAAGGAAGATTGGTGTCAATTCGAGGAGAGAAGGCTGACTTATTTAGAACTTAGGAAACCTGTGAAGTCTGAACGGTTATGGGATATAAAGATGTTGATAATATATCTTACGGGTTCGATTCTTGTTCCATGCATGGCAGGTAATAGGCTCCAAACCAAAGCTATGCTTTTCCATCCTGATTTAGTAGATTGTCTGGAAACAAGGAAGACATAAGAAGTACAGTAATTATCAAATGCAAAAGAATAATGAATGAAAATGTCTAAATATTAGTTGCATATTTCTTAAGTACATGTATGTTACCAGCTTTGCTTTGTCATTTAGCAGCTTATAATACTGTATGATGGGGATCGAGCCTTATTCCTGCGCATCTAACATTAAGACTTTTCTATCATATTACCCGAACGCTTGACCTTGTCTTCATCCTTATATTCTAAAGATTATATAGTATTAGTGTGCTGAAAATAAGGATAATTTTTTATTGTGGTAGTTGTTGAGCACTTGAGGAGGCAGGCATGTCATTAGGCTAATATTATCAAATGGTAATAATTAGCCTCAGCTTAGCAGCCAATTAGGCTAATGCCTCAGTCACACCTTTGCGTATTTATGCCAAGCCGTTTTAACATTTATTCCTTATTCTTGTTATCAAGAGACGATTTTCTGTTGTAAAGCAATGGTAATTCTTGATATCAAGAAAAAGAAATACGCAAGCCAAATATGCAAATGTGTGACTGAGGCATAAGGTCAGTGAGAAACTGTTCTTCTTTTTCGGGTTACCTGCCTCCTTCAGCTCAGTTCAGGTTTCAAGATCCTTGCACATCATAGATACCCAAGCTCAAGGTAAGCCAGACGATTAAAGCAACCTTGTATCACTTACTTATCATGAAAGATGAATTACAAGATAATAACCAGTAGGGGTGCGCTGGTCCGAGATTGAGGATCGTCTTCATAAACGAGGAATAATTGCCTACTAATAATGACGTTTTTTTTATTGGCGCTATGCGGGTTCCGGGTTCCCGAATCGCGCACTGGCGATGCGAAAAACAGATTCCGTTTAATAAAATAACCCCATGGGTTGTCTATCTTCCTGAGGATTTATCGCTCATAACGTGAAAGTGTCTGTACAAAGTCAATGAAAAAAACATCAAGAAAATTAGTGCGAAATCCATTTTTTTGCAGTGTCACCGCGCGGAGCAGAAATAGGGTCTGGATCTAGACCATCTGCAAAAACGCGTCTGACCGTTTACGAAGACGATCCTCATTTATGCCAACGATGCTTCTTCTCAGACCAGCCCTCCTACTGATAACAGATAGACAGAGTAGGCCTACACTATTAGTCCTAACCTAATTAGTCCCATTCCCAAGCTTTAATACCGCCCCTTTCTCGCACGACTTTTCAGTTGCACATTTGACATCGATGATATCTGCATCTGCAGCCACACAACAGGCGCAGGCATTCACACAACACTCAACAAGGAAATCGGCACCCGGAAGACCAATTCTGATTCTATTTAGACTCTAAATTAAGAGTTTTCATATCAAGAAATGGACATAATAAATTAAATGTAATAATCATATTCCATCATACTCACATTACTTAGGAAAAAAATGTCCGAAAAGGGGAAATCTAGGTTAAAATTCGCGGACTCTGGTCAGTCTACACGAATTCCGTGATCAATGCAAAATCGTGATGAATTTCCGGGTTACCTGCGATATGTCGCCCTCTAGTGGCCCTATTACAATTAACGGCTGACTCGATCGAGCAGCGCAGCGGCAAGTTTGATTTTTCAACATGAAATCGACAAAACAACTGGCAAAGTAAGATTTATTTCAACCTGTTAAACTTTAGAATGGGTCTGTACGATAATGTTGGTTGATGCGTATATTGTAATATTAGAAGTGAGGTATTTTTCGTGGTTAATCCCCTGATATTTGATGTGGTGTGGTTTAGGTTTCGGCGTTGGTAATGTCAGCGGTGGCTGATTGAACCAGACGCCAGGGCCGCAGGCCTACTTGTTGAAGGGCAGTCCGCTCCCTGGAGCTTGAAACGAAAGTGGATAGATGTAGACTTCTAAGTTCTAGATCTAACGCTATACGTTAGACCTAAAAACCGGTCTATTTTGATTTGTTCGGGGATATGTTTTCCTGATCGAGACTACGTCTGGCTTCACCGAATCCATTTGCATTGCTGGAGGAGAGCCAGAGCTTCAGCAAAAAATGCTCCTTGTTTTTTTAATAAAGACTTATTTTTTGAAAATCATTAATGATATACAAAATGTAGATCTAGTGACGGGGCGGTTATAATACTACTAATAATACTATAATAATGCCTAGATCCTACCATAAGCTGTAGAAGTAACTGCTTGAAGTAATCTAAGTCTCGATGAAGCACCGATGTGTGGAGCTCCACTAGACGCTACGTAGACTCGAGATCAGGGGAACACAGCAGACGGCATGTAGCGCGGTTGCAGTTCCAGTTCAAATCTGCTATACCCAGTATCGGGCATGACCACTGAAACTACCGCGGGTGTCGCCAAATGCGAGACTTGCGCGGATATGGGTTTATACCCGCCAGAGCCGTATTGGCTCGGGCTGAATCACTCCATTATTCCCCACTTAATGAGTTTGAAGCCTACTTCTAACTTAAACTAAACTAAAACTAATTTAACACTACTCCCGTACCGCAGTGCGGGGTCACGCCGTTCCCGCTGGTGGATGGGTCAAGGACCCTCCTTGCCAGCACCGGTGAAGTCTTGGCCTTTCCAGAGGGCGGGCGCCTTTATCATACCTTAATAAGTACTGTATTCCAAAATTTGGTACGGGAAATATTATATAAAGTACATGTATACAAAGACTGAGCAATCTCAAAACTACAAACTACAAAAACGCCCGTTTCCAACAGAAAATACTTATGGAAATTTCAGCTAGTGTATAATGCTAAAAACCAGGCCCTAGGAATGTTCAGGGAACCAGAAATATCCTAGCATCTCTAGCTTGGTATATTTAATTACTAAATAGGATTCAAGTCCCGGAAATGTCCCAGGGATCAAGAACATAAAGAAACGGAAATATACCAGTTAACCCTTACCATGCCGGTTATACATATTGCATAATGACAAATTGCAAAACGTCTTGGCACGGGCATAAGGGATTGACCGGGGCATTACATTAAATTCCCAAGGTGACCGAGCATGAAAGTGTGAGTGATCAACATAAACGATGAATAGCAATAAGTGTGCAGAAAAGGGGAAGTGCAGTTTGGATGGTACAATGTCCAGAAATGTCCAGAAACTGGGCAATCCCACATGAGAGCCAAACGGCTCCCTACAGGCAGTCCAAACGGTGCATATAAGAAGTATTAGAATGATAAAAGCAGATCACTGAAATCAGATGGAAAATGATATAGAAGGTGAAAACACTTCAACAAAATAAGGTTACATTCTCTGGGCCACTCGGCACCCGGGGGCACAATAGCCACTGCCGGCAAGTTCCTGAAATCATTCAGGGCACCCAGGCCCACAACACCATCAAGCAAATCCAAAAGGCTCTTGTTGATCCAGAGGAACTACTCCCCAAAAACATGATCATATTCTGACTTATTATTGGAACCACGTAGTGTCACTTGGGAGATATCAAAAGCCGGCCGTTTTATGGCCTCAAACACACATGGGTGCTCTGTCTCCCTGTGGAAAGAATGCTTCCTAGTCAGCTCTTAAAGCGGAGCAGCTAATTCAGCATAGATAACTCCGCTAACCGAAGCAGAAACTTTTCAGTTTTATTTAATTGTTATCCATTCAGTTTAAAAACATCAACACTTAAAGTTCAGGAACTCAGAATGGACGATTTACAATGAAATTAAACAGTGTAAACAAAAGTGAACTAAAATATATATATATATTTAAGACAAACATGTTATTTCCCCCGATCAAACATGATCCGAGGAATCCAAAATGGGAGCCTGTGGGTGGGCTGGAAAAGGGAAAGGTCCTTACTCTGGAGCCCTGGACTCCCAACAACCTTACATCTTACCCGCTTCCCACTAGAAGGAGGCACCACGGCCGTCCTAGCGACTACCTGGACAAAGGGACCGACCGAAGAGTCAGACGGGTCACTAACATTATTTACCTTGACAAAGGGACCGACCGAAGAGTCAGGCGGGTCACTAACATTAACTACCTTGTCCAAGGGACCGACCGAAGAGTCAGGCGGGTCACTAACATTAACTACCTTGTCCAAGGGACCGACCGAAGAGTCAGGCAGGTCACTAACATTAACTACCCCAGTATTTACCGATTGTAGGCCTCTCGGTTTCCAGATCGGAGATCGGCCTCGCTCTCCGATCCCTCCAGGTTTTCCGGAACACCAGTAGCCACGGGAGATAGAGGGCGGGCATGGTAAAGCATAGAAAACTCCAAAGACTTAACTTAAAGACATAACTGTCCACCTCCTGATCGTACATGCAAGTCTGCTGCACCTGCTGCCGAGAAGCTGGATATAAACGGCGGGGCTCGCTCTCGTACACTACACGTTGGGTGTGCTGTGCCCACCTGATGGCATCCAGAGCCTCCTCGATGGACCTTGGGCGCGTATTTAAAGCCGTTAAACCAGCCGCCTTATCGATGCAACCCTGGCATAGTTGCAACACCATTTGAGTGTCGTCACCCCTACGGTCACACCCAAAAGCCTCATGGAACAATGCTTGGAGTCGGTCGGACCATCCTAGGAGGGACTCATCCGGGAGTTGGCGAGCCGTTTGAAATTCGGCTATGGCCTCCTCCGGGAATCGGGTAACCCCAAACCGACGCCCCATCTCTGTCAACATCGGGTAGTACAAACTAGTGCCCATGTCCCTAAGGTTAGAAAAACAATCTGAGGCAGACCCTTCCAAACACCAGCCTAGTGCATCCAAACACTCACTCGGACTCCACTGGCACGATGCAGCATAACTTGTGAATTTCTTGCGAAAGGAATGCCAACTAGTCCTCCCATCGTAACTAAGTGACCTCGGCAGACGGGGGGGGGGGCCAATCTCGGCGCCCCTGCGACCTGTAATCTCCCTGACCCCCTGGTGGGGATTCCCTGGGAGGATACTGATTGTCGGGTCGGGATTCCCTAGAAGCGGGATAAACATAATCCCTACGTGGGGGCTCCCCAGAAGGCGGACAATAATTGTTAGGAGGGGATTTCCTTGACGGCAGACAGTCAACGGCCCTAAGCCGATACTCGGCTGTGGGCTCGGCTGGGGAGCTGGGCGGTTGCGGCGAGCTCCTCCCCTGCTGTAGAACTGGCTATAGGCCCAGCAGGGCCTCCACCTGTAGGTTTAACTACCATAGCCTGATAAGGCTCAAAATCAAATAAACGTAAAAGCTCCTTGGCTTCATGGAGACGGGGACACTGCAAAAATAATTCCTCTGTTAAGCTACCACATTCCTCCCTCCACTTCATAATTTTGCCAGACTTTGTTTTATTGACAACCCTCAGAAGGGTCTCCTCAGTCACATAATTAACTTTAACCTTCGCTGAGGCCATAACCAGCTTTAAATCAGCAACGATTAAATAGCCAAATGATAAAATTAAATACACAAACAATCTTTCCTTCTTGCTTACTTAATAATACCCTACTTAGTTTCCTAATAGCTTACTAAGTGCCTGACAGGTAAATACTGAAACCCTAAACCTCACCGAAAAACACCGCGGAATTATCTCCACGGTGAACAGCTTCAGCGAGCGGGCCAAAACTAAACCCTACTAAGTAACACTAAAGGACTGCACTTAAACCGGCAACATACCTCACCGAAAAACACCGCGGAACTATCTCCACGGTATAATGCTCGGCGAGATGGCCGTACAATATTAGTAATGATGAAATGAAGATGAAATTAAATACCACCCACGATTTAACCCAAAATCCACAGATATACAAAACAATACTGACAGTCAAAAATCACTACAATGATCTAACAAATGAAAGATTAGGCAGTGATCTAAAGTCAACCTCTTAACTTTATAACTTAACTTGTTTTTTATTCAGAGAATTGGGATTGCTGAGGAAGAGAATTCCATCATCAAAAGCCAGCGGGAAAAGTCACAAAAGTGCTCAGAATCCAAGGACTTGTAAGTGTAGACCTAGACCTACTTGCGTTTGTTATTTTTATTTTGTATTTAGGTATCAGATCTGGCCATTTCTTTAGGCCTATAGTCTCATCATTAAATCATTATCATTATTCATCATTAAATGACATCCCAAAATAGTAAAAAGGAATGATTCTAACACACTAATAATACAGTGAACACAGTTAAAGCAAAAACAGTTCAAGTAAATATACACTCAATATCTTATGATTATATTTCTTTTGAAGTGTTTTACTGTTTAAATAGTGGGTTAAATAAACTGAAATAGGAGATCATTAGGCATAAGGCCCTACATCTGAAACTGAATATTTTCATTTAGTTTATTTCAAGACTCAAGTATTATAATCATAAACCAATATCATAATGTCGCTTAAAATAAATGTTCTTGACTTTATCATTTCAGGTTTGTGTCACCTGACTGATCTAATCCAGCTATTTAGTTTGAAGTTAAAATTTAGATGTGTTAATCTTATTTAGGCTATAGTTAGGTCAAGTAAGCCTATTAAACCTGTGAGACCTGTTTTAGCAGAGTTTATCAACCACCTGTATAGGCTGTATAGAATTAGACCACAATTTTTGTTACCCTTGAATCATGTATTTTAGGAACTAGGCCAGGGGCCCTTTTATTCGAAACCGTCATAAGTCTAACTCTTGACTATCCCATCTAAACGCGTGTTAATTCTATAACACACGTTTCAATGGGATCTAGTCAAGAAGTTAGACTTATGACGTTTTTGAGGAAGGAGCCCCTGTAGTATTGAATACCTGCTCATAAACACCACTTTTGTCTCCCCTGACTCGTCATTGTACATAGTTTGATAACAGAAGAGATTTATATTGTTTCTTCTCCTTCCAGGTCAGACATTCAGTTATCTCATTGTGATAGATTTTGAGTCAACTTGCTGGAAAGATAAAAAGAATACCAGCCAAGAGATCAGTGAGTATCACTATCAGATTAACATATACATTTTGTGTTTGTTTCTTTGCTTTTTCTTTTAAAATACATATTCATCTTTTAAAGTATGCAAATACATAACTCGATCAACATGAACAAAAACAAACACTTTGGGCAGCAAAATTTATAAGAGGAAAAACACAAATTTCTGTCTCTTTAAATGTGTGTGACGGAGTGTGGGTTGAGGGTGGGGGGGGGGGGGATTGGCATTTGTTCCACTCCACAGTACGACCAGTAGATTTAATATAAGAATAATTCAGATACAATATCTAGGAAACAAAAGTGTTGGTAAAATTCTCATTGTTCATTATATACTGACAATCTAGTGTGTTTGTCTCTTTTCCATATCAGTTTGCTGTCTAAATTTATGCATGTGTCAAGTAAACAGACTTTCAGAAGTGGCCCAAGTTAATCCCTTTTATCGTACACCCTGTAGTTTGGTTATAAGTAAACAGACTCTACCTACCCTATGTTTGTTCAACATGAAATGAATTGGTTTCTAGCATATGGTGCACCAATGCATTGTTTGCAAATCCATTGACTTATGCAGCAACTGTGGCAAATTGTTCAGGACAAAACTATGTTTATTATGTTGTTTATGGTTTATTCCAATTTGCAGTTGAATTTCCCGCAGTTCTTCTGAACACTACAACTGGTCAGTTAGAGTCCGAGTTCCAGCAGTATGTAATGCCAGATGAACACCCTGTTCTGAGTGATTTCTGCACCGAGTTAACTGGAATATCGCAGGTAAGATAAACTACTAGTACAATTCAACCTCTTTCAGGGCCACCTTTATAGCATAGCAAGATCACCAGTCTATAAAACCACAATTTACGTTTTCCTTGATTTGTTTTGTTCTCATTGAAGTATTATACTAAAGGGACCTGGAAATGAAGACCAGTCACCACTGCACACTGGGCTATCAAGACCTCTTTGTTCATCTCCAAAGTCTTTATATACAGTGTAGGGTGGTTTACTAAATGGATTTAATTCTTTGCTTTAGTGTTAATTGGAGAGTAATTTGTCAAGAAACACATCAATATCAGTAGATTGAAATCCAACCACATTCTATTCTCAGACAGAATGTCTGAATATGCACAGGTTCTTCTTTTAATTTCCCAACATTCTGAGTACAATCTGTACTACAAATAAAGCAGTTAGTAAATGGACGTCAGTAATTAATTGATTGCACGAAGAAAATAAGAACACCAACAATGATTTAAAAAAGATATATCCCTTGCCCCACCCGTATGTATTGTATTGCTTTGCATTATATTCTATAATCTTTATGGTGTATTATGGAATGCAATAATATCAAAGGAAGTTATATTTCCTTGTTTAGTCCTCTTCAGCCTTTACCTAGTAAGACTTTACAAGAATTTTTCTCTTTTAACCATATTGAAAAAAACTCCTTGAAATTTCAGGAACAAGTTGAGAATGGTGTCCCTCTGTTCATCTGCCTCAACAAGTTTACAAGTTGGTTGAAGAAGATAGAGAGTGAGAAGAACTTAGCTTACAATCGATCAACGGACGACACCAGGAAACTCTGCACTTTCGTCACATGGTCGGGTGAGTACGAGGATGGAAAGCTGGGGCATTACTAGATCAGGGGGAGGTAATGTTAGACTAACTAGTGATAAAACAAAAGGAGATTATCAGATTTTCAAATTTGCCAACAATGGTAAAAATTTATCACATTTTCAGACAGATGTCAAAGAAAAACAATGGATTGTTACAGAGATTGGAGATCTTCAGGATGAATTTCTTTTCAGTGCATCTAAGTATCTGTGTATGTGTAATATATTTTGTAATTAATATAAACTACCTTTCGTTTCCAAAGTTTCCAAAATGAACTCTATTTTCAAGAGGAAAAAGCAGTAACATTATTGGTCTGACTAGGATCTGGTAAAAACTTCAGTCAAAGTCTTTGTAATTTTTCTTTACCTTTGATATAACCAAGATAACAAAGTCACTCTTTTCTTTCCTGAACATAGACTGGGATCTTAGTGTGTGCCTTCGTTATGAATGTCAACGGAAACAGCTCTACAAGCCAAGTGCCCTCAACCATTGGATTGATGCCAGGGCTGTCTACAGGGTAGATACCAAATCCTTAATAAGTATCTAAAAAAAACAACTTGTATGAAAATGAAGTACAGTTATAATTATTCATTTCAGATTGCCAACATTAACATAGTAGCACATGTACTTTTCTTTTGATAATTTTTATGTAGATAACATAATTGATAAAATGTGTGTGTGTGTGTGTGTGGATGGGATGGGGGGGGGGGGGGTGAGTATCTTTTATGCACAAATAATGCAGTAAACCAGTATATAATGTACTGGCATTTGTAAAAGTCAGCATTTCAACAAGCCAGTACATGCCAGATATTTTTTCTAGAGTATTCTGTAGTAATTCTTTGCAAAACCCGACTGTCTACGGCATATTTACCATAACTTTGTTTCAGAATTTCTACCAACGCAAACCCAAAGGTCTGAGTGGGGCTCTCCAGGAAGTCGGCATAGAGTTCGCTGGAAGGCAACATTCAGGTGAATACATGTACATAAACCCATTCTGTCTATAATTTGTGGCATGGCTCAAAAAAATTTGGATTCATATTCACAGACAATTTATGCGATACAGAAGCAGAAAGGGGCAATATGTTGACATATAATCTGTATCCATTCCCATATGGCATTTCACAACAATAAATGCAGCACAATGAATGGGATTCATTGTATATCTGGAGTTATAAAACTCAAACAAATATTTTTAAGTTGAATCCATTATCCTGATTAGCTACGGTATTGCTGAGCAAGTTTCATAGCTTTGTAAATAGCAATCCCAGTGTTGAGAATTAAGATGTCTTCTTTCAATTAATTTCTTTTGAAAAAAAATTGTCAACTATTTTTACTTTTGTTTTTGTTTTGGCTATAATAATAATATTCCACTTTTAAATAGCGCTTAATACATTAACAATGTCTCTAAGCGCTTTACAGATATATCATTACCCCGATTTGAACCCCATACCTTGTGATCTGCAGTCGGTTGACTTATCCACTAGACCACAACACCTCTACATAAACCCATTCTGTCAATATTTTGTGGCTTGGCTAAAAACTTACTTGTCAAAGGTCACCAATTAAATACCGAAAATGTAGCAATATGAGCTCAGTTTTTATTCATTTCCTCTTTTAAACTTTTCTACTCCCTATGAAGGATTGGATGATGCAAAGAACACAGCTATATTAGTTTGGAGGATGATCCAAGATGGCTGCCATTTCAAGATTACCAAGACCATTCAATCGGTAGGTCATGGTGTTTTACGGAGGTAGCAGTCGTAGTACAGTACGATGTAAAAAAACAAAATTAATTTCAAATGTATTAATTTTTGTATTTTAAAGATGCCATGTTGATATTTAGTTTTCATATGGATCTTTTTTATGTATGTACAAATCTTTTTGAGTCGTTTGTATCTTCACTTTCCTTTATATAATGAATGCGGAGAAGTATTAATGGAATTTTTACCTGTATTCGTCAATTGATTAAATTTGTATAGGGTGTTTTGCCTAAGGATTATGTTTTTTTAAATAACTTTGTTATAAATACAAATTGAATGAAGAACCTTGAAATGAGAACTCACCTTTGACAGGTATTATTATCATTTTGGCTACTAGTGGTCCGGTGTACATTTAGAAATCAATTGATAGATAATATATTGTTATTCTGTTTGTAAAATCTTCATATTTAAATGGAAAGGGGGTACAGATATTTTGCATATCACGAATGTGCTAACTTTGCTACTACACATTTCCCTTTCAAGTTGCATCTCTGAATTTACAGGGTCTTGGATTATTCTTGACTAGTGACACTTCCAAAGTTAGTTATCAGAATCTAAAGAGATATGTACCTCATTACAAGCTACATTTCGAAGTAGCTATTTTCATTCCCAAAAAGTTATTGTTGATATCAAAGGTTATCTGTATTAGGAGTCAGAGCTTGATCAATAGGAAATAAAGCATTTGTATTCCACATTTGTAATTACATTCGCTGGTTGTGGTGTACCAAAATTAAAATTGTGCAAAATAATAGCTGGAGTGAAAAATGTGCATATTGATCTGTCGTTTAATACTCAAGTAAGAAAAATAAGAAATGATTAATCCAACATTCATCAAGGATTAAGGAACAGTAGGAAAGTGGGCTCGAAACACTTTTGTAAGATAAATAACAGATTTCTAAATGGCAGAGCATGATTTGAATGTACCACAAATATATCCCATGTCTGTGATGCATTAATTGTTTTAAAAAAAACAAGCCTCTTTTTAAATGTTATGTTAAATTTTGTGTTACTTAAATCGTTATGTTAAATTTTGTATTACTCAAATCTTATTTGTTAGCAAGTACGTAACCCCTGTATACTATTTTATGTGATAAAAAGAAATTCAATTGTTTGTTCCTTTTTCACTTGTATATATTTGTTTCGTTTTGTATTGCTTTGTTATTGTCCAGTAAAGTATTTATGTACATAGTTATCCATTGCAAAAATATTTTAATTCAAATTTTTTCTGATGTTTGTATAACTTGTATTTTTTTCTTTTTACACTTGTAATATCTTTTATATACATATATATTTTTTATTGAATGGAATGAATAAATCTTGACTATGTACTGTACAAAGATTAAATTATGGAAATTCCATGAAGCATGCCATTTATTGTGATGTTTTCATGTTGAATACTTTGAATGATTAAAACAAAAAATATTAGTTCAATAGATTTTGAATCATGTAAACTGTCCTGTAAGATAATGAAAACAGAACTGCAAATATAAAAAGCATTACTAGTAATATATAATTATTTGGTTTTCTTCATTTATATTTGACACAGGGCACACTGAAGGCTATTCCTAGTGCACTACCTCAGCCAGGATCGGCTCAACAACACTCAAAAGTATCATCTGCAACTTCATCAACAACTACTACAGTTGCACCACCACCACCACCATCATCATCATCTACAACTCCAACAACATCATTATCAAAAGCATTGTCTTCTTCATCATCATCAGCAGCAGCAGCAGCAGCAGCAGAAAGCACTGTAAATTGCAAAAGAACAAAAGAAAATAATGATTCAGGTACCACAAATGCATCATCGTCCTCGCTATCACTGCAAAGCATGAGAGATGAAATACCCATTGTTGAAGCGGCACAATCAAATAAGAGAAAGAATAGTGACATTACTTCAGTCAAGACAGTAAAGAAATCTTGTGTGGCTACAGGTGTCAAGGGTCCTAAGAACCAAGGTATTCCCTTCAGTATTCATGAAGATGGAAAGACTGGAGATAGGAAAGATGATGTCACAAGTTACTTGGTCACAGAGAAACATTGTGTGAGAGAACAGAACATAAAGTCCCTACATGAGAACAAGCAGACTTCATGTAGATCACATCCAATCACTATAGTTAGTGATAATAAAAATGCTAAATCAGCAAAAGGTGGAACCCCTAACCAAAGAACTACAACAAATGGAGTGTTCAAGACACCACCAACTTGCCCACTCCCTTTCCACAAGCAGAACTCCATCAAGAAGTATGGAAAGCTTGGTGAGAAGACCAGTCCAGAGATTCAGTTCAAGACTCCAGCAAGCACGAACACCACTCCTACAACTGACAGCTTGAAGACTCATTCAGACTCTCTCAAACCAGGCGTCTGCATGGCCAAGATTACACCACCAATGTGCAAATGTGCGCGACGGAGCAAGAGACGCGTTGCGGCACGTCCTGGTCCAAACCAGGGAAGGGCGTTCTACTCCTGCCCCGGTCTAAAACGCAGAAGTGGAGGGGGCCTGAAAGACACCACCAATGCCAAGATGGGTTGCGGATTCTTTTCCTGGGAGAGTATGGTGTTGAGTGACTTTGGATCACCCAACAGTGTGGGTAGTCCAGGTGGTTTCGCTACCCCAGGATCAATGATGAAGCCAAGAACTCCAAGCCCTCTAGCTATGGGTTCCATACAGAAAGCCATCTCCTTGAAAACTGGACAGAAAGCTGGAACATCCACGAGAGGGGGCGTTACACCTATTGGAATAGGGTATTCCAACAGTTGGAGGTGATTTTTCTGAAATGTACACATGATATTCTAAACAATAAATTGATTTTTTAAAGGGTTTGTCATGTTATATACATAATTTATTGATGATTTATGTACATTGAAATTATAACAAATAAGAAAGGAGCAAGTACTATGCAATGTACATTGTTATAAGCAAGCAAACTAAAATATTACAAGATGGGGTTGTTGTAAGATTAGTCAGAGTTCATTTACAGTGCCCTCCTGAAATCAAATATTGCTTATTAAATGTTTGAAGAATAATCAACTACCTCAACAGATAACTACAATAATAAAGCCCATTAACACTTTTTAAATACTTAAAATTTGTGATTGAAGGTTACAGAGTAGAGATTACGGTAGATTTATAACATTTGTTAGAGTAGATATTAAATAAATATTTCATTTTGTGATTTACACAAATCGTTGTGTAAAATTTCCTCTTCTATTTTATTGTAATATCATACAATATTGTGTGCTGAGAACTAGAAGGTGCCAAGTCTTTGTTTAAAAAAAAAGTACATAAGGTAATTCCCTACTGGCTCTTAGCTGACCATGTATAATTTTTTACCATTTGTGACAAAAGAAGAGATCAATGCTAGCCAAGCAAACCCTTTCACAAAGTTTTGGCCTACATCAAATTCAAAGTAACATGTACAGAGTACTTGTATTTTGAAAAAATGACCAGGATGCTACATCGTTTTCTTGATACAATTCTATCGTCAATAACTGTTTACCAGTAATGAACCACATGTACGTATAAAGAATATTCTTTCGGCAATACCAATATTAATATACCGACATATAAGATGTTGTGGTGCCAAATTGAGTACACATGTATACACAATATATTTGTACTCATAAGTGACTATTCAATTAAAGCTTCAAAATTAAATTGTATCTTGGCATGTTATATGAGAAAAACTTCTTGTTCTATATGTATTTCTTTACAAAGCCCTGCTGAAATATGTCAGTGGTGTTTAAAACCTTCCAGTAATTTGATTTCAAATGTTAACTTGTTAATGAAATGTACAGAAATATAACAGCATTATTTACTGCCCATGAATGAGTTAATAGTGTATTCTATGAGACCCCACACATGTAGATCATTGTGTGTACTTGTTTAATGAATATTATATTAGAATAACTACATTTACATGTATGTACAGTTATAAGCAACAAAGAAACTGTTTATAATGACTTATTTACATCGTATACATGGACTGAAATATTTCTTGTTGAATAATATACAATAAAACAATTTCAGGTATAACATTATATGTAACAGAATGTTTGTTCGAGTCTGTTTGGGTGTACAAATGTAAAAATACCCATGAACGGCTTCGTCATCAACATCTTCAGCGAATTGCCAGCAAAGCTTCCCATCTCGCTCTGTACAACATGTCGTTGATGAAGCTGTTCATGATAGTTATGGCCCGACTGGAGATGCAGGCGTTAGGATGAACTTGCTTGAGGACTTTAGAGATGTAGATTCCATAGCTCCCAGATTTCTTCTTGTTGCGGGCAGCGTTGCCAATGAGTTCCAAGATTTTTCGAAAATCTCCATACTCTCTTTTGCATGATTAGAATGATACTATAATTACAGATTACAGGCACGGATTGGATCCATCGGTTCCCAGGTTTATCTTGGATCGGCTTGCTCCCAGCCAACAGAGAGATCCTTGTGGTACGAGTCCAACTGGAAAAAAGAAAGAGAGAGAGAGAGAGAGAGAGAGAGAGAGAGAGAGGAAATGAGAAAAGGGGGGGGGGGTAGAAAAGAAAAAAAAGAAATATCTTTTTCAAATGAATGGAAATTAAAGCATGGAATTGCTGAAATAATTTTCTTTTTTGTAAACTCGAATTTAAAACTTTTGAAGAAGATTTTCCTAAGTTAAAACCACCATTGAGGGGGTTTGAGACGGGGGGTGTGATGCAAAATACAAAAATTGTGCGATGGAAACTGACTAAATGTGACAAATATCACTTGGTGTCTTGGTGATGATTATAAAAGAAAATACAGAGAATGTTTTTTTCTGCATACACTTGACTGTTAACAGTTTTCCTTGGAATTTGTCTGCTTTTTTTCTTCTTTTCCAAAGTTGGAAACAAAGTTTTGATGATATCCAAAGTAACTAGTAGAGCATTGAATGGTATATTTAACTGCATGAAAACTACATGGTGTACAAACATCTATAGTTTACTTACAGCAACAAGGAGGTGTTCATATTTCTCCTTCTTTTTACTCATCTCTTCTCCATGGATGTTCTCTTCATCACTCATCTAAGACACAGAAAAAAGAAAACAAAAAATTATTCATTTTCTACTCGGGAAGTTAATATCACGACATAGGACAAAAACTACATTTATCAAATGGAATGGGTGACTGCATGGGTGGGCCATGTATAAAATCTATAAGGATTATACAATTTCAGAGGCAACTGCTTAACCCTACGTTAACTGGGGGGGGGGGGGTCAATTTGACCCCCCCCTGTAGAAATTTCGCGACTACTCCGAAACCGCGGCAGATATAAAATTTTCCTCTCATGACTTTTTACTTTCGAGTCTTACGCATCTTTTAAAACGATTTTTTTGAAAATCGGACCTACAGTTACAAGGTCGCGTGACCTTTTGTCTTTGCATGTCAGCCCGAAAATCGCTCATTTTCGTGATTTGTGTACAAAACATATGTAAAAGTCATTTTTCCTAAAAATAGATAAAACATTGGTTATTCAGTCTTGTTTAAAGTTTAGATGTTTGTTTTGGGGTCAAAATAGTTAAATTGTAGTTATAAATGAAATAAAACAACAAAAACAATAAAATACAACAACAAAATACATGTACAGGTGACAAATCCTTCTCTTCTGCTGCACCACGCCTATGGAACAACCTCCCCCAGAACGTACGGACGTCGTCATCCCTTTCTCAGTTCCAGAAGTCCCTTAAGACATTTCTATTTAATACTTAATCTGTACCTGTAATATTACATGTAGTTTATAAGTTATTTTGTAAGACAATTTTTTTTTTTTTTTTTTTTTTATGCGTAATTAGGAAATGTAATCAGTTCATAAGTTATTTTGTTATTGATATTCTTATATATGTATATGATATGTAAAGCGCTGTGATACATTTACTGTAATGAGCGCTATATAAATGCAAATATTATTAAATACATAAGTTAAAAAAACAATGAAATACATAAGAAATTATAAAAACAAGAGATAACATAAGGAATAACCTGGCTCTTCCAATTTTTTGTGTTGTATTATTATTCCAAATGGTCTAATGAATATATGTAGTGAAAAAGAATACTTAAATATGAATAATCTATGATTTATGGGCCGAAATGTGAATTTTATGACCTTATTTGCATAAATTACCATAAATATGCAAATGAATACATTTTTCAAAAATTTGAAATTACCATAGTATTCTATACACTTCACTTGACATGCATGCAAATTTTCGCGGCGATCGGCGGTGAAACGGCCGAGATCTTAGGGGGGGGTCAAATTGACCCCCCCCCCCCAGTAAAAACCTGGTCTGAAATAGCCCAGTTAAAATAGGGTTAAGAAGATGATTACTAATTGCCACACTGAATAGGATGGAAGGGATTGGTGCTTCAATTTGCCCATAAATATACATTTCTCAAATTAAATATTAAATATTTGCTTACGAGGCTGTATTTCGAGGGGTCAGTGGCACAAAGATGTAACTCCATTTTGGCCATTTTGAGAAAACATGGTTTATGTGTCACTAAGCACTTAGGCCATAAGAAGTTAAGTCTATGTTTCACTAGCCATTGACTTCAATGGGGTGTTGGGTGGAGTTAAGTCTTTTTGTTTTCTGGAAAGCCCACATTTTTCTAAACATTTTTATATCTAATACTCATATTGGCAAAATATGGAGTTGCGTCTTTATGTCATCCTACAACTGAAAAAGATAGGATGACAGAAGCATCTATGTAGCTGCAGAACTAACTGACTCTTGACATGGCTCTACAATTTCTACACAGTTTCACTTTTGGCTTTAAGTTATGTTTTATTACACCTATTGAAGCTGTGATGATTAGTGAGTAGTCTGTACCTTTTTCTTGATATTGTTCTTCTGTTCAATCAAGACCTGGACGTGACCAAGTTTTTTCTCCTGTTTTTGGCAGCATTCTTCCAGCTCCCTGAATGGGTGCAAAAATGAGATTGAAAATAAGGAGGAAAATGATAAAACAGCCAGCTGCAAATACTTGAGATCTGTTTGCTTTCCCTCTCACACACAACTGAAAAAAACATTCACTTTTCAGAAAGCAATTAAATTGCAAAAGCCTTGTAAATCTTAATCTAGTTTGAATTTGTGTCGAGGAATCATCACTTGTCCACTGCCTGTAGAAGGGTGACAACTGATCTTTTTATTCTCATAATGAATATACATGTACATGTACTTAAACTGCTTGCATGCATAATTTGATAAAAAATTATTTGAAAAATATGACGTAAACTTTGAAATAGAGTCAACCAGTAAAGAATGTGAACATATTAATCAAGTTTCTACTTCTAACAAGACTTCTTGACAGTACCTAACACACTGGTTCTATGACAATCTTAAATCAAACTGAATTCCTATGTTCAAAGGAACATAATTATGAATTGTGTCTTCCCCAAAATCTAATTCAAAAGTGACATTAAACTCAATCATGCAACACTGTAAACAGTTACAAACTGAAGTTACAAACTGATTCAGCCGAGGACGCAGGTTCGAAACTGAGTCACGTCTTTCGGATGGTGACGTTAAAGGTCGGTCCACAGACGTAAATAAACATATCTGATTGATACCAGCTGTAAAAACCCAATTGCACACACACATTGTAACCAGAAACCTGATGGCACAGAAAGAGGTCAAGATCCATATCCAAGGTCTGATGAAACACCCCAGTACACACAAATGGGATATACCTCCTTTAAATATTGTAGTGAGAACAATGCATGTTTAATACTGACCTCTGTTCCCTCTGTATATTCTCCTGCAGAGCCGTGACGGTGTGCTGATGCTGCAGCTGTAGCTTGACCAGTTTCTCTTGCTTGGATTCCCTCTGTCTGTTGAGGTGACCCTCCTGGGCTGTGAAGTCTCTTAGTTGGTCCTTCTCGATCTGAATCTGATCCCTCACACCTTCCATCGTTGCCTGAGCCTCCCTGCAATGGTGGAAAGATGGCATAGAGTGGTGAAGTGTGAAGTCATAAAAAATCTATTTTTAGAATTTCTCAATTTTTTCTTCATTTCCGAAAGAGCATCAAAAATAATGTCCAAATGTCGAAAAACAATTGAATATGTTAAGTATTGGCTGAGATATATGACCATCTGAAGAAATATATTTCCTATAGGAACTCAATGTTATATGCTCTGGTTCCTATAGGAAATATATTTATTCAGATGGAGAAAAAAAAAAAAAAAAATTCTAAAAATAGATTTTTATGACATCACAGCTTCGGTACTCTATAGGAGTTTGATACAAATTTTGTATATCGAGGGTTCAGTGACACAAAGACATAACTCCATATTTTGTCAAAATGAGTATTTGATATCAAAATGTTCAGAAAAATGAGGGCTTTCCAGGAAACACAAAGACTTAACTCCACCTAACACCCCATTGAAGTCAATGACACATAGACTTTAATCCTTAAGGCCCAAGTGCTCAGTGACACATAAACCACTTTTGCTCAAAATGGCCAAAATGGGGTTACGTCTTTGAGTCACTGACCCCTGGATATATTCAAAGCAGTAGTGATAAAAATTACTTCTTAAAAAATCCCCAGAAGACTTTCATGCTTCTAGGATATTTTGATGTAAAGGGAATAAGATGATAAATGGGACTTGGGTATACTGTGCAATGATTTTCTCATCTATTTTATACCTGAAAAGTAGTACATGAAGTAGAATCAAGCACTGTTGGAAAAAGACACAACTCAATTTGAAAAACAAACATTCATAATGAAACTTTGGGGGATGTAGGGGAATCATTGTACTAGTAAATCCAAAAAGGGATATAAATTGTCTAAAGCATGACCATTACATTGAACTTATAGTCAATCCCAACTACCTGAAGGTGTATGAGTGGTACCTGTGTAGCTCTTATAAGGCCCACCATGATTAGCTAATGATGGACAGTTGACCAATTCATCCAATGTTTGATCAGAACACTCCAATATAACACAGATAGAGTCAAACTTGTCTATAGTGACCGCCCAAGGGTAACACAAAAAGTGGTCTTTACAGACAGGTGGTCTTTGTAGACAGGTTCCTTTATTAGATGTTTCAATGAGAAACCATTTTCAAGGGAAACAAAAAATGTGGTCTTTGTAGACAGGTGGTCACTAAGGCAGGTTTGACTGTAATAGAGCAGAGACACAGTACCCACCTCTGTTTCTCCAGCTCTGTATTGATAGCTGTGATCATGGAATCCCCTTGCTCGCTGGACTGCAGAAGCAGCTGGCAGTTCTCGTTCTGACCCCGCATCTCCTGCAGCCGGTGTCCCTTCTCCTTCTTGGTCTCCTTGCGTGAGGCCAGGGTGGAATGCATCCTCGAGATGTCGGCTTTCATACGCTCCGGGGATTGGACGACCTGAGCTTGCATCTTACTCACCATCTCCTGTTTGTTCAAGATGGACAGCTTGTGCTTGTCCTGCCAGTATGGAGTAAGAGGGAGAGATAGTCAGACAACTTACTTCTTTTAGAATATTGTGTGAAAGACAAGGTGTGATGTAGCATTACTGGGACCGTGTTTTCAAATGTAGTGATTTTATTTCATCTACATTGTGGTATTTGGAACAGTTCTTTGCAGTGGCCTAGCGCCAACTACGAGTGAGAAGCAGTTGAGAATAAAGATCACTAATACCACAACAACATAGACTGGACTTGTAATTGCTATGTCCCATATTTAAAGTACTTCCAAGGTATACACACTAGGTTACTACATACCTATTATATGTTGCTCAACCAAATGTACTTGAAATTATTATAAAAATAGTTATCTGGTTGATGTGGAAAACTGGGGCTACAGTAGGTGGTAAAACCATCATGGAACCAGACACCGATTGATAGTAGTTGCTTAAGATTTGTTTAATGGTGATGGACAGTGGCACCAAATAAGGGATTCAAAATCTGAAACTCTGACATAAGAGAAGAACAAGTGATAAGTGTCTTGATTTCCATTTTTCCTCTTAGCCATGGAAGGGTGAAACCTGGGGGGCGTTTCACAAAACTTGTCATCAGTGACAAATGACAGTTTTTGTTACAAGCTACTAAAATTCCTTGCTTCTGATTGGTTATCAGCAGATTTGTCACTGATTTTTGTCATTTGTCATTGAAAAAAGGCTTTGTGAAACGTCCCCCTGGAGGTGCACCATGATATCGCCTGTTGGAACCAGACGGCCAATACATTTTATACTGGTGTACAGAGTTAATGCCCTTCAGACTTTGAACAGACGATATGTTCAAGGATTGGCCTAGAGTCGTAAGCACCTTTCAATAACAAACTTGAGACCTACAGGTATTGCCCTATGCTTAGCCAAATTGGACATCCCTCCATATATATTGTACATAACGCAGACAAAATAATCACCATACAAACATGGAAATAATTAATAAGCAATCATTCCATTACTGTTTTGGGATCTATGAATATGGTATACATCGGCTTATTCATTAGATGAAGCCCTTAAAATGTCCTATGTGCCAAGTTTAAGATTTTTATTTTCACTCCATGTGAACAGGTCTTTGACTGATAGAGCACAAAGCAACCCGGCCTTGTTATGGTTGACGAACTTCACCCATACCCATTTCAGAGATAAAGAAGTGTTATTTCTTCCACTTATAAATGAGCCGTTTTGCCTCATTTCTACAATCTTACCACAAGGGCTGCTTTCTCTGCTACTGTAGTTCTCAGTCTTGAGATATCTCTCTGGAGTCCTGCTTGATCTTGCTGCTGTGACATCATCTTAGCGTCCGACTCATCAATATTGTCTTGCAGCTGAATATTACAACCAAAAAAAAAAAAAAAAAAAATAGAATAGATAATCAAGACAAAAGGATAATACAGATTAATAATAAATTGACCAATAACCTGGTAACTACAGGGGTGATAGTGAGCACTTTTTTTTTTATCAACCACAAACAAAAATGGCACTATAACTTTTGAGTAATGGTAAGGAAATTAAAAAATAGGGGGAAAAATAGGGGGAAAAATAAGGGAAAATAAGGGAAAATAAGGGGGAAATTGGGAAGATAGGGGTGAAATCAGGAAGGAAAAAAATTGGGGGAGTGGGGGAAATGAGGAAAACTGATTTAAATGGGGATAATGAAAACGCAAGTGACCCGACAAAACTGATCTGCAACTGGAAAAACACTGGGAACGTACGTTTGTTTTAAAGCATATCTGCACTACTTTGGCGAGGAGGGATTAGACCTCCCTGCGTGGTCACTGACAGTTGGTTTTCTCATCAAATCAGCTCTATATTATCATAAGAAAAAGGGGACAATGGGGGACCAATGGTCACCGCTTAAGCATTGTTTGCTATATCTTATAGAGGGTGCAAGTAGCTACAAGTAGTGCAGTCCCGCTTTAAAGATATAGATCTGACCTGTTTTGCATGCTCCTCTTCTTCAGCTCTGTTCATTCTGATGAGATTGATCTTTTCTTTGATCTGAGTGATCCTCTCCTGACATGCACTCCTCTCCGCCAGTGATCCTTGCTGCAAATCAAACAAACAAAAAGAAAACGATAAAAGAAGTGTTGTACCCTTGTAGTTGCTTTATTATTCCATGTTCTTGTATAACGTTTAATGTCTATTTTCTCCTGCGAAAAAGTGGTGACTACACGTAGTACTCTTTGCATTTTCTAAATTCCTTCTAGTCTAATTATTTGGAATTTCATGAAAAGTCTTTAATAGTATATAACACACTTATAATTGAGCATCAGGACTTGTGAACGAAAACATAAACACAGGGTATAGTCTCCCCTTACAAGGGGAATGATTAAGGAAATAAAATTTGGTACATACTTCTTTCAACCTGCCAAATTCCTTAAATGTACCCTATTTTGGACCAAGGTTAAACAAAGCCCTGCCAAGGTGCCTGAGTAGAATTATATTCTTCCCAATGAAACCATACATGTACATTCAAATGTATCAAATTACAATCTCTTGACATATGTTGTAGTAGACATCCTCTCGTTCAACGCTGAACCGCCAGAAGTTGATGATGGCACTGAGAAAGCGACGGGTTCGTTTGGGTTCTGTAAAAAGCACACACGAATGTAAGTGTATATGATCATTCGGTACAATCACACAGGGAATATTTTTAAGAGATGGCATAAACATTCAATCATCCACCAAGAAAAAGATTTTGTTTTAAAACCTCACAATTTTGCAGCAACTTTTCTACAGTAAACCACTGAGCAGCTCTATTTAGTTGTATGGAATCTATATAGAAACATGAATGTGCAAATACAATTCTTGTTCATTCAAATGAAACAATGGTTACAGACATGTGCAATTTTTGTGAAAATTGAAACATTTGTACAATGCATGTATAAGGTTATTATTATTCCCTACACTTTGCAGAAGCATGTAGTTTTTACTTAAGTTACTTTACTCATTTGCTTTGTTGTTCTAATAGTACTTGCTTTGTCATTCTTTCCCTTTTTCATTCCCTATATGTGTGTTATCTGATGCTTTACTTTATGAAATGATTTCTGCAATAAATAATCATAAAAGAAAAAATAAAATAAAATTTGTAAATGTAATCATATTTTATGGTGTTAACTCACTTGGGTGTAAAATATCCTTCATTTTGAAGTCCTTCACCAGGCATCCAACCATGAATCGCTGCCTGCAAAATTTTGAAGAGGGCGAAAAAGAACGAGAATATATTGGATGTAAATATCACAAACTGTTTTAAAAAAAATAGTTTTAAGTCTGAGATGTTCCTGGATTTAAAAAAAAAAATTATCCTCTTTGGTTCTGGATTTCAGATAAAAGTGTATGTTTCATAGGCAATACATTTCAGGATATAAGGGTAACATTTTGCAATATTCCCAAACACATGAATATGCATGTACAAACTTTTTGTGGATGTGAATTTCTTTATTGTCATGCACAAAATAAAATGGAGGCATAAAAATCGTTTTACAGCTCACATTTGTATAAATATAACAATACATTAACATATCATAGACAGTAACTACAAATAACATAAATAACATAACAATGTAATATAATTTAACCTCTCTGTTGAGAGCCAGAGGAATTATTTGATTATTTGTACTCCCCTGGCTCCCAACAGACAATATTATCTTAAATAAATAGCAGAAAATGTACATGACAACAATCAATGTCATATAACATATAAATATAACAAGTCACAGCAAAGATCTAAAAATCCATTATGCATCAATTGTTAAAAATTTCAGATAAAAACTGTACTAGACGAAAATCCAGCCATGGTTGGTATCACTTTGTTTATAATAGTTCACATAAAAACAACGTAAGAACGAAAAACTGAGGAAAACCACGAAAATGACGAGAAGACAAAATGGAGCCGTGTAGTCGCCGCGGAGCAGCCCCCTCTTTAATCCATAAATCGGGTCATATTTAAAGCCTATTTGGTACCTCTTTTAAGGCAAAAAGGGCTCATATTTCGTGAAAAATATTCTTGGAAGTATATATATAAAAGCGCCTTTGAAAATTGTTGATATGTGACGAGCCATTTATTTAGGAGGTACATATTGCAAAAGGGATCAAACTGAAATGACTTACATGGCTAGCGTGAGGTTCATGAGTGGGAAGGTGTCTGAATAGAGCTCAGGATGCAAGACACCCTGTGAAGCCTCCCATTGAGGCTGGTTGATCTTATCCATGGGAGTGTTGATCAGTCTCTGCAGGAAGGTGGCATACAGCTTCTGGATCTTGGTGCTCTGTAACACACAATGAAAGCAAATACACACTATGAACATGACTGACAAAGAAAGCGGGCAAAATATACAGTTCCTCAGGTAGACAAAGGAACATCCCTTCACTGCCATTAGGTAAAAATGTGTAGAACAGGTGTCACATGCATATTCACCTTTTTACATAATAGCAGTGAAGGGATGTTCCTTTATCTACCAGAGGAACTGTATATTTTGTCCGCTTTCTTTGTCAGTCATATTCATAGTGACATGTACTGTACAGCCTTTTGAAGGTGATACTCATATTCATGATCTTTCTTACCCCTTCAAAGATATCTTGTCGATTACCCCTTTCAAGCCGATCAGGTTATCTGATGAAATTAGCTCCAGGATTTAGGTTAAGTGTTGGTGTTTTAGGCTAGAACTGTCCATGAAGCAACTGTTTCTACATTTAATGCTGTAAACCTCCTTTAAATGCTATGCCTCCTTTTTTTTTTATAGTTTCATCTGCAAACTGCTCTCATAATTTTGTTAACAATAGAATAGTATTACAAAAAAGGAAAGAAAGGATATCAAGGGAATAGGGAATGTATGTAGGTAGACCACTTTGTTATATAACAGCTATCACTCCACTTTAACCCATTCGTTACAGGAGCCTGATAGTTTATGTATTAAGCCTATGTGAATTGGAGAATTTAGTAGTCAGCAGGTTAATATTTTTACCTCTAGCAGAAAGAAATAGAAATTAACCTAAATAAATGCCAGGTCACAGTTTCACAAAACTGTCATTTGTACTAGTTCACCGACGTCCATTGAAACATTGAAACATGTGTTTCATTTAATACACGCATTTCCATGGATTGCCGGTGAACTTGTATGCCCCGACTGAGAAGTACATGTACATGTATCAAATATTCAAAGTTCGCCAAAAATTTACCTGAGGGTTCTTGAAATCCTCTTCCGAAAAAGTCTCTCCAAGGATCTCATGAAGAACTGAAGCCAACTCAGCTGATGATAGGAGAGGGAAGCTATAGGCTGCCATGGTTGCTTCTGGGATTCAACTCACACTGGAAAATGGTCTAAAATAAATGAATTGAAAATGTAAAGTACACTAGGTCTACTCAGTTTCTAAGAAAGATGGCTAGAGTAGAGAGTCATCATAGCACGCCTGTGGTCCTGATGAGATAAATGTAAATGTGCTAAAGAATGTTCCTGATTTGGATGTATCGCTTGGTATTTTATTCAATCAGTCTATCCAAACCGGACAGATACCCCAAGATTAGAAGGACTCAAATATCACTCCACTCTTCAAGAAGGGATCCAGGTTGACCCCAAACAACTATAGACCAGTCTCCCTTAACAGTCTTTTAAGAAAAAGTGTTCATGTGTTACACAGCTCTTGGAATGTCTCTATGACTGGACTAAAGCCTATGACGAAGTTAAAGGAATGGATGGCATATACATGTATCTTGATTTTCGAATGGCATTCGATACCGTCCCCCATCGTAGACTGTTATACAAGCTCAAGCACAATGGTATCCGTGGACACATTCTCAATTGGATTGAGGGGTTCCTAACTGGACGTAGACGAAGAGTATTCTTACTATAGAAGATCTGATATGATCATTCCACCAGGGTCCTCAACAGGACGTTATGATTCTCGACTTCAGCAAGGATTTTGATAAGGTACCCCATCAAAGACTTCTCTTCCTACTTCAAAAGTGTGGAAGGCCAACTTCTGAAGTGGATCAACAATTGGCTGAAAACAAGATCACAGAGAGTGGTCATTGATGGGGAATGCTCAGCCTCGGCTGAGGTTCTATCAGGCGTACCGCAGGGGTCCGTCCTCGGCCCTCTCCTTTTCCTCGTTCGTATATCTCAATAATATCAATATAAACATCTCGAGTATAAGGCTATTTGCAGATGATTGCATACTCTACAGAGCCATTAAGACAATCAATGACACAGTAATCCTCCAGACGGATCTGAACAGGTTATCTACATGGGCAGACAAGTGGCAAATGAAATTCAACGTCACCAAGTGCTACTTTTTTCGGATTTCCAGGAGGAGACGTAATCTCATAAACCCAAGCATACTACATAAACAGTACTACCCTCAAGGAGGTAAACCACCATCCCTACCTCGGAGTGGAACAAACCAACAACTTATCTTGGGAGAACCAAGTGGATAAAGTAGTCAAGAAGGCAAACTGTATGCTCGGGATAATTCGTCGTAACCTGTCTGGCTTCTCTACCAAGAAGATCAGAGAAGCTGCATTCACCTGTCTAGTAAGGCCTCATCTAGAATATGCCAGTAGCATGTGGGATCCTTACTTAAGTAAACACATCAACAAACTAGAATGAATCCAGAACAGAGGGGCTAGATTTGTCACTGGCAAATATGGAATAGAAGTCCATGTATCAGACCTGAAGAGTGATCTAAAATGGCAAACGCTACAGAGTCTATGTTTTGTGGCTCGACACTCGCTCTTCTTGAAATCCATCAAAGACCAAGTAGCCATACCCAGACCTGAATACATCACACAACCCCAGAAGATACTCAAGGGACATCATAATCTCTCCTTCTCTAACATAAGATGCAAGACGGATATTTATCGGCTTCACCTTCTTTCCAAGAACCATTCGGGCCTGGAATTTACCTCCCCTAGCATCTTTGCCAGCGACTTAGTGGAAACCTTCGAAACCAGACTCTGGGAAGCCATCCAAAGGGGTAATATAATCAGAGTCCCTCCCCACAACTGCAATGTGATGGGACTCAATTCCAAAATGTTCTAGAAGCAACAAACACTCTCTCTAACGATAACGTTCTTATTGGTCCTCTATATATCCCTCTTGAGGATCAGGACCAGGATCAAAACAGAATCAGAATCAGAATCAGTTCTAAGGAACAGCACCTCGAGATAGAGGTCAGTGACAAGCGGCCTGCCGCAACTTCCGCAAGGGTCTATTCTCAAGCCACTCCTCTTTCTAATCTTCGTTAAACGGTTAATGACATTCCCGCGCGCCTGTGTGAAGTTATCTACCGTAATGAATTATGAGGATCTAAGACATTATGGTAGATAACTTCACACAGGCGTGCGCCCACCCGCAACCCACCATCGGTATGCACTTGTATTGTGCAGCGGTTTGCCATGAAACCTGTGAAAAAGTGTATACTAATATCAACGTTTATCTGAAAGATACTCCAAAAATAACGACAAAATTGACACGAAACACGTAATATTCATAACGACTTTAGTTTTAACCCATGATCTTTATAATTTTATTTGGACATTTAATGAATATTTACTTCATTATGGGTATGTTTTAGTAGACCTAGGGTATCTCCACGCCAGAGTTACAAGTCAAATTTTGGATAGGCTTCTGAACAAGCGCCATATTTTAGATAAATCTAAGATAGGTTTCTGAACAAACGCCAAAACTTCTAGACTCTAGATCTAATTTAGACCTAGAGTCTAGATCTAGATCTAGATCTAACTTTGTTAGAGTCTATCTAAATTTTAATCAGTTCATTAATGCCGGACAGCTCACTGTGCAATACTAATACTAATATAAAAACAAAATTATGCTACCAACATAAAGCATCTGACACTCTATTGTTAAATAGGATAAGATATATTAATCTTTAATCTTGGAGTCGGACGAACACATCACTCAGCTGCAGCTCAGCTCAGCTCAGTGAGCTCAGCAGGCCAAGATCCCGCCGGACAGTGACTGCCGGTTCGCCCGAGCCTATGGGCGTAGTAACGAGTCGATTTTGATTGAATCACGGTTAGCACAAACGCTGGAAAAAGAAACATTTGACAGTAGAAGAAACAAACCATAACGATCTGATGATATACATTCAACCCTTTAAAATTCATACACTCCAAGAATACAGTTGATATCTTACCTAATTTATACCAATATCTTGACTTCTTCAAATCCAGAATTCGAGTATAAAATCAAATTCATAATCACCGCGATCGAGACTGGTATCTACGCATGCGCACAAAATCGTCGGTCGAATTTGACGTCAAAAGATGGCGCTCCAAAAATGCAATTTAAAAATCAAAAAGTTTCTTTGTCTTGAATAGGAGGAGGGTAACGGGGGGGGGGGGGGATCATTATCTCCCTCACTCTTTCCTCTTTTCCCTTCTTTTTTTCTCATTTCCTCTAATTTGTCTAACCCTTTTTAATATCTAGTAAATGTTCTAGTTCTAGACATGAAAATGTAAAATGTAACATTTGGCTTATTCTGGGATGTGTTTACAGGTAAAATGAGGTCATGTTATACTGTATCATTGTTATTGGGGAACAAAATGATGTATAAAAATAATATTCCGGTTTTTTTAATCATGCAGTCGAAAAGCTAAAGAAAAATGTGATAAACTACTTGAGTGCGGTAATAACATCCAATTCCTGTAATATCACTTTTAAAAAGTTATCAGGATTTCAATTTGCACAAGTTTTTGTTACGAAGAGAAAAACGAATTCCTCATACGATGAGATAAGATATTATTTTCTTATTTAAAAAAAAAGATAGACAAAATCTCACTAATTGTCTATCACTTTTCTTAGATTTTTTAGGGATAGTGTTTTCGTACATGTACACATTCTTAGCGAAATAATATATAACCTGTTTAAACGCCATAAGATGAGTACCTTCAAGTTCTTTAAAACTAATTATTGCACGCCGATTGTATAATAGTTACATGCTAAGTTTACTGTTGAACAATTTTACAAACAAAAAAGTAAGAATCGCTTGATAAGTGAAATAGAGGCTAAATTATTGTATAAATCATCGGAATGTGGCAACGACAGGTTCACCGTATCTGTGTCTTAAAGGTACTATGTCCCTTTTGCAGCCAACCTCAAATTCTGTAGAACTTTGCAGGAATTATGAATATGTCATGTATGTCCTATATCTGTGAAATTTAAACGTTAGCAGTGTCCTCATATTCAAATTATGCAAGGAAATCCGTTTACTTGCTAGACTTCACTGTCATACACTATTGAATGACTGACTGGCTTTATTTCTTCTTTGGTAATAACATACATGAAAAGAGTTGTAAAGGGTACATGAGCATTTGTCTACATCAATAATCTACTTCTTGTGATGGCCAAGATTAAACTGATTGAATCTTTGCGCAGCATAAAGCGTATGACCATTCGGTACAATATTGTCTGAAAATCAAGACTGTTACTTTTGGGCTCTATAGCCCTAAAGTCGATTTGACAACTAATAGTCGTTATTTTCCCACTTGAAGACATTTTCAAGCCCCACCTTTTTTAGGGAAGTTCTAAATTAGTATTATCTTTCAAAGGCATTTGGAATTTAATTTTTCCATTTTTTTGGCCTGCAAATGGGACATAGTACCTTTAAACTTCGTGATTCATCTTTTTTCTCTTGTGCTTCAGACCTACCAGTATGACGTTTAACGTACACGCGACCTCTGACCTTTCTCATTACAAACCTCGAACAACTCTCGGCCTCAGTCTGAACCGAGAAACAGAGGGAGAGAAAGGGAAGAAGGAGAGGGGCGCAAGCCAGTGGGGTGTAAATGGAGGGGGAGAGGTGTAGGGGAGAGAGGTACGGGGGGGGGGGGGAGAGAAGGATGAATACAAAAAGGATCAAAGGTCTAAACAGAGAGTCAGAGAGAAAGAGGAGAGGGTGTGGGAACAGAAAAAGAGTGAGAGAGAGAGAGAGAGAGAGAGAGAGAGAGACAGAGAGAGATGGAGATAGAGAGAAGAGGGGGGGGGAAGGGGTATGTTATAGGAAAAGGGGGAAAAGAATTTAAATTTGTAGGGGGCCAGGAACAGTTTTTTTTTTTTTCTCTTTTTCAAACGATGGAGAGAATATACTTTTGTATAGCAGAAGATAAATATATTGATCACTGTAACAGGCGGACAGCAGGAAAGAAAGAAAAAAGGGAGATAGACAGAGTGAGAGAGAGAAGAGAGAGAGAGAGAGAGAGAGAGAGAGAGAGAGAGAGAGAGAGAGAGAGAGAAGTAACGAACCAGTGAGAGAGAGATATGTTTCGAGACAGACAGGCAGAAAGCGAGAGCAGTTGCAAGCTTGCAAAATATGTTGCAACTTGTCAATACTAAGCACGTATATTGCGAGTGGATGTGCCTATTTCTCTATTTTGTATTCTCCCTTTTAACATTGGATCATTAATTTTCACGAATTTGTTCTTTCGTGCATCCTTTGGAAGTCAACTCTTGGATAAGATTGCAGAATGGAATTCCACAGTTAAGTGTTCTTCGTCTTGACATTTTATTCGGAATCATTAAATCGGTGAGTTCCAATGATTATCATATTATGTTTTTTCTCACCACAAACTATAAGTGTAAACGCGCGTTTTCCCCCCGGTGCATGATATTGGTACATTGCACCGTATATTATATAGGCCCACACACTCATGATGTTCGCAGATATAGAATCTATACTATTTATTTTTTTTACATTTTGATTTTGAAAAAGAAGTTATCTTTATTTGGTACAGGTATAGGGTATATAGATATCCACAAAATTGTTTCTGTATGATAGTGTGGTACATGTTTTCAGTTATATTTGTAGTGATCAGTGATCCAAATGATTTTTGTCAGGATATATCACGATCAGGGGCGGACCTAGCTTTTTGCCAAGGGGGAGGGAGGGGGGGGGGGGGTGTTGACCCAGTGGCGGATCCAGGATTTTCGCGCCGTTTTACTGTTTTACTTTTTTCTTCTTCTTTCCCCCCTTTTTTCCACTTCTTTTCCACCCTTCCCCCCTTTTTTTTCTTCACTTTTCCGCCCGGGTGGGGGGGGGGGGTTCATACTGCCGAACCCCCTAGATCCGCACCTGATGATTTAAAATGGTGATATAAGAGTCTATGTTTTTATCTTCGCCCGATCCTGTTTTTCTAATAAACTAACGAATACAGGGATTTTTCGTCACATACACACTGGGTTACATGCAGGGTTCACTGAATGAGCCTGAATAAAATATGATATCAAGTTTTGCACTTTAAACGTATACATTGAAATGCTTCAGTACTTCGGATTTAGAGGAAAAAAGTTACCTCTCATTTTCATTTCTCATTTACAATGATGTAAATAGAAGAACTAGATGAATACAAAAAATGAAATCATTGCACCCTTTAAACTATGACATCAAGGAAATACATATGATACAGGATGTCATCATGTCAGCAAATTATCTATATTTGCATCTCATAGCTAAGTCAGTTGTTGCCTTGTGGGTGACAGGTATATTTTCATCGAAATTTTAAATAATAAAATGAAAAGTTTTAAAATTAAAAACATGTTGATAAAGATATTTGGAAAAGTGATTGGGGTGAAAGAGAAAGGGGAGAGAAGAGTCGAAAAGAGAAAAGAGGAAATATTGCTCATCTGATAATAGCGTTATAGAATGGAAGGTCCTATACATTGATTTAAAATCTGTTGATATGAATACGTATATGATTAGTGTTTTTCACCAAAAAATAAAAAAGAACTATTATACTCGATATGTATGTATACTTTCTATTTTATAACTTTGAACCGTGTAAAATGTATTATATTATTGGATATTGAATTGTATATCTGATTTCTTGTCGAAATCACTGTTCGGTTGGAAATGAAAAATAAAACTGAAACTAAAACTGAACGCCCCCCCCCCCTCCCCTATACATTTTAGAATAGACATCACGTAGTAAAGCAAAGAGATTTTATGTCCGTGTAATCCAGCAACCCCTCTGTCACTGGGCGGTCAGGGTCGAGATAGACTTTCCCCTCGCCAAGGTCAAAATCAGAACAAGGTCAAAATCAGCGCTAATATGACTATGGAAGGGGGAACTTCCGAGTTCTTTGTAGTCGTTTTGAGGATCGAGGCAGACTAGGGATCATCCTGACTAATCAGTAATCTAGCGCAGTATGACAGACATGTAAGGGGAGTCTGGTTTTGATCAAGACTATTTCGTTATGAAAAATGAGAAGCCAGATGATAATAATATTGAAAATTATACAGTGAATAATCACCGGCAGTTTGTACGTATATGTAAATAGTATTGCATGCGTGGCACGGTGAAAGTAGCACAAGCTCCATGGTATGAATTATATAGATGGAAATGGGGAGGGAAGGAGGGAGGGAGGGGGAACGGAGCGGAGGGAGAGGGGAGGGGAGGGAGGGGAGGAAGTGGGGAGAGAACGAAAGAGAGAGAGAGAGAGAGAGAGAGAGAGAGAGGGGGGATGGGTGGGATGGGTGGGATGGGGTGGGTGGGGTGGTATAGTTAGAACGAATGATAAAAAAAGAGGAATACACAGAAAAAGACCGAGAGAGATAAAAAAAAAAAAAATAGGATGGGGACATAAAAGTAGACAGCTACAGATGATCATGCGTAAACACATAGCATATACATGATTGTATAAAATATAGAAATAATTTCCAATGGTACAGAGAGAGATAATGAGAGACAAATATAATACAGAAAACGGGGGTGTGTTATTTCATGCTCACTACTTTCCCCCTACTTAATGTTTTAGCTGTATATGTTCTTGGAAGATAATGCTGATGAACAGTAATTTTATTGAATTTCAAATTTCAAATGTATTTATTTCACTTGATAAAAAAGGAATGAACATGTACATCATTAAGGTAAACAGTGAAGAAGAAAAAAAGCATTTACAATATAAAAACTACAACATAAAAACACAGGTCGAGTGAGAACCGGTGTTGAGCATTCAAAATCTCAATTGTCCCGGCCCCATGTACATTCATCATATTGAAGACAGGCACATTCGTATATTTTACTTAAAAATATCCAGAGCATGCAGAGTGTACGTAAGTTTAGTCAAGGCAAAAATTATGATTCATATCATACTCTGAGCTGTGAGGCCTCATTGAAAATGACCTTGTATGGAGGAAGCCCAACGAACATTGACGGATTATCACTGTGATTTTATATTACATCAACAAGCGAACATGCAGGGTATTAGCATCAATCATCGGTGTAATTTGATATCATAAATGATGATTAGT